TGTTTCGAACTCCCCCTGACTTTCTAAAGTCTACCCCATGTGATTGAACCTCGTATGTGTAACCTCTAATAGGAAGTTCATTTGTAGGTGTTACCTGTTACGCCAAGTTACAACTTTGTGATACACCTCGATGCCAGTTGGCCACATGTCTATTTTCTTCCCCCTTTGCTTGTTTTTTTGTGGTGGCTGTTTGGGTTCACTTGTTTGCTTGGCTGGTTAGTGAGGTGGGTGCATTCATTTGGGGCTGACTAATGATGATCAGCGATCGATGATGACGTTGTTGGTTTAAACAAAACAAGCAGCTACCGGAAGTTGAAAATTCAATAGTTCAACAAAAGAAAAATAATAATATTTGTAATAAATGGAAATGGAAATTGGGAAAACAGACACACGGCGTTTTGGCTTCGTAGCCAAGTCATCAAAACGAGGCAACAGCAACAACGGATTATGGAAACATGGTTTGATGATTTCAAAAAGAGAGATATCTATCGCAACAAACAGACAGACAGACATACATGGCTGCATAACACCAAACGACAATGCTAATGGCGGCGCATGAGTTGTGGCACACAAAAGACCGACGATGTTGTGGCATAGGGCGACAGGTAGAAATACGAAACCGTAACATCGGAGGTCTCGTATTTTTTTTTTTTTTGAGTGGAGATGTTAGCGTTTTTTTTGTGAAGTGTTTGGTGGTAACCTCACGGACTCACACTCCAGTCGCTCAGGTGACTTTCAACTCGTCTCTATGTTGTTACATACATACATATGTAAAGTGAGGTTAGATTATTGTTTTGGTTGGCGGGTCTAGTTACGGAGAGCCTTTTGTCTTCGCTTTGCCCATTCATGGCAACAATTGTTCAAAATAGTTCTAGCATAAAATACTTTGCATGCTCTAAATTATTTTGTAAATCTGAAATAGCCAACTTTCTAGCGACAATCTAAACAAAGTTTTTCGAGTATTTAAAAGTTGGGTTTGGAATTACCATGGATTCCAACATTTCCATTTTTTTTTATGGCAACAGGAAATCATTGGCGACAACTTTGTTATCCGATAAACGCCCAGAAACATGTTAATTAAAATACGGAGTATTTCGAAATGCTGCTTGATTTTGGATTTTCTGTGTCATTAGTGGGATGAAGAATCAATGTCGGTCTTTTTCTTTTTCTTCGTCTTCGTCTTCATGCCAGCCTTGTTTTTTCTTCATCTGCAAAACCACACGAAACTCCTACACAATAATCCCACATTGATCTCTATCGCATTATCCATTCCATTCATCTAACCAACCCAATATGGCAAGACCACATATGAGCGACTGAATGACTGACTGACAACAAAAACAAAAAAAAACAACAACAAATAATCCAAATCAAAACAGCAACGAGTTAAGGCCATAAATACGAAGTCAACAAATTAATAAACCATAAAACAAATAATAAAACCCCATGATGATGAGAATGGAAGAGAGAGAGAGAGGGAGAGAGAGAGAGAGAGAGAGAGAGAGAGAGGTATCAATAGTTTGTCTTAATTATTAGTTTCGATTTCAATCTGCCCACTTAAATGGTCCATTAGATGGAAATTTAGATAGAATACTAATGTGTCTTGAAACTTGGGAGGCTGTTTTTGAATAGGGGCGAAGATGAGGTGGCTTCTTTCAATGGCAACAGTGTTGCAGTATCAGATTTCATGTCACACTCTTCGCGAAACAAAGCAACTAAGCTTGAAAATGACAACATTAAGAAAAAAGAAAATGAAAATATTGAATTAAAAAATAGAAGTCTACAGAAGGGCCTATATTAGTAAAAGAGTCGGTGAGGGTCCCAAATTTGTGGTTCATACGACAATTTGTCCAGATGCGGAACCCAGTTATTATTTCCTATTTCGAAACTTGAGGAAAAGACTTGGTGGAAAGAAATTCAGTACGAATCATAAACAATTTTTGATAAACACGTTAGAGCAACAACAACAACAGATAATAGGGAAAAATGGAGGACACTCTATCATAACGCTAAATCTAACGTTAGAAGATACAAGTAAAAAGCTGGGTGGACGTTTTTAAGACGATTCATGGTTAAATTACAGACCAAACTAAAGATATTCGAAAGAAAAGAAAATAATAGGTGCGTCGCTGTATAAACGTATGTTGTCAAAAAAGAACACAAGAAAAAACCAGCTTAATACCCTCCAGAATTTGAAAGGATCTTGAACATTTTCAACAAATTCCGAAAAAATACCACTTAAATGAAAACCGTAATATGGGGGCTAAACGAAGCTGTGGGCCTGCATATATTAATTTTATATCCTCCACCATACATAGTATGGATGGTATATTAAGTTCGTCGCTCCGTTTGTAACTTATTCTCAAAAAAAAAAAAACAAGTTAAAAAGCAGTAAGTTCGGCCGGACCGAACTTTGAATACCCTCCACCATTTAGAACGAATTTGGAAATTTTCAAAAAAAAAAAAAAATCCTTAAGAAATTCTGTTAAAATTTTAAAAATACTGAATATAGCCGTTATATTGGGGTACATACGACGTGGACCTACATAGGCATTGTTCGTTATAAGTCATTACCATATTCAAATTCGAAACTTGAAATTAGCCGTGAGTAATGTAGCTAAAATCATCAAAAGATCGTATATAGGGAGGTACCGTTATATCGGAGATGTGCGAAGACCTGGGCCAGCATAGACAATTTTCTGTCATAGGCTGTAGCATCCATTACGAACTTCAAATACGACATCTCAAACAATTTCGGCGGGTATTGTATCTTAACTCGTCAAAATACCGAATATTGGGAGGTATCGTTATATGTGGGCTATACGAAGACGTGGACCTGCACAGACAATTTTCTATCATAGGCTGTAGAATCCATTACGAACTTCAAATACCAAATTTGAAACAATTCCGGTTAATAATGTCGCTAAAATCATTAAAAAACCGAATATAGGGAGGTACCGTTATATGAGGGCTATACGAAGACGTGGACCTTCACAAACAAATTTCTGTCTTAGGCTATAGTATCCATTTCGAATTTCAAATATGAAATTTGAAACATTTCCGGTGAATAATGTTGCTAAAATCATTAAAATTCCGAATATCGGGAGGTACCGTTATATGGGGCTATATGACCCATTTACGAACCTAACCTGCCTACTGGAAAAATAAACATGTGTGCAAATTTTTAGCCTTCTATCTAAATTCGAAAGATAGCGTGATTTCAACAGACAGACAGACATCGCTAAATCGACTTACAATTTTATGCTGATCAAGAATATATTTCGAGGAGTTACAAACGGAATGACAATGTTAATATACCCTCCATGGTATGGTGGAGGGTATAAAAATTCTAATGCGATTTAGCCTTGTCTTTCCGTCCGTCTGTTGTAATCACGCTAGAGTCAAAACGAATAAAGATAGGAAGCTAAAATTTTGCACCGATCTGTCTTTTGTCTGCAGGCAAGTCAAGTTCAAAGATGGGTTATATCGGTCCATGATATGATGTAGGTCCCACACAATTGTGCCGCCCGATATTGGGTATTTTTGTCAATGGAATTGGCTTAAAATCCACACAAGGAGTTCATTCTGAGAACTTAACTCCCTGAAAGAGAATTGTCTATATAGGCCGACGATGTCGTATATCCTCCATTCGGTATCCCAACATTCCGTATTTTGATGATTTTAGTTACATTTTTAAATGGAATTGTCTGAAATGTTACACAAAAAGTTCTCTGGGTAATGCCGAATATATCTCGGGGTACCGTTATATCGGGGCTATACGAAAACGTGGACCGACATGGCTCATTTATGAATTTAATCTGCCTAGTAGTAAAACTCTATTGGCTTTTAATTACTGAGTCTTCAGAGTATTCTATGAGAAGAGATCTTTTGAAAACACTTTTGCGCCTTCTGTGAGTAAAAATATTGATCTTCTAGACTTCTGTGAGAAGAAATAGTTTTTTTGGTCACAAAAAATGTCCTGCCCTGATAGGTTGATATTCTGTGTGAGACGAACTTTTTCATGCATTCTAAGAAAAAAAATCAAAAAACTTCTCTGAGAAGTCACTTCTGAAGAGTCCTGTTAGTCTTCTATGAGAAAGCATTCATGTCTTGTATGGGAACACTTTTTGGTCATCTGTGAGAAAATCTTCTGGGCAAGCTCGAATTTCTTCGCGAGTGAAAAATACCCGGGAGTACTGAAGAGTATGAGTTTTACAAAAATTTTACTCTCTCTTTTTTTTTACTTTGACTCTTTTGCTCTTTTTCTTTTATTTCAATGCTAAAATCGAGTTGAAAAATATTCTTTTAGATGCGCCACAAGGTGGCTCGGCAAGAGTGTCAAATTTCGGTCATATTTTCATCCTACTCGAAAACAAGAAATGCGTACTCGCTCTTATTTGTGTGACAAAGATAGATTTCATTCAATTCCCTTTTTCTATTCTCGGAAGCACTCTCGTTCGAATATGCTTGGATAGTGAACATCACTCTAGCATTTCGTAGCTCTGGGTTTGGTTTGTCTTCTGTGACATTAGCTATGAGATGACGACTTGTGTGATATGAGAACTTTGTTTTTTTTTTTTTTTTTTTTTTTTGAGAGCAAACCTGTCGCTTGTCTTCTCTGCGATATTTGATTCTTTTGATAAGACATCGTACTGCAAGAGAATGGCAAAAGAATGGCTTTTGATTTTCTAAGAGAAACATTTTTAAGTGCTCAATGAGAACACTGTTTGACATTCTTGTAGTTTGGTTGAGGGATACGCATCTGCACAGGAAACGGCTGCTGTTTCACTTGGAGATCTCTCATCCCAGAAAAAATAATAACTTTACTTCATCCTCATATAGGCTACAGTAGTCGGAACCACTGTTACCCCATTCTGATATTGCAGTACACTTTTCACTCTCTAGATCACACCTTTATTATTCTGTAACCGTAGAACTTTTGATCTTGGATTTCATTCGTAGTTTCATGTTAAATTATTCTGTTTTTTATTCAATGTTACTTTATTATTAAAAATATATTTTTTCTTTTTATTTCAGGTAAGTGATATTGATAAATAGTTAGGTAAGATCTGGTTATATCGAACTTATATTTGTAACGGACTATTTTTTAATAAATCCCACAAGCCACACCCAAATTGGGTAGATTCTGGGGATTACGACAGTACGTACTCCAACCGCTCCAATATTGGAAACCTTTTGCTTCGAAGATTTTCACAGCACATTCCACATCTTGGCTGATGTCATCGGTGAGGAAATCTGTAGAGAATAATGAAATATATATATTTTAGAAAAATGAAAAAAAAAAATAACTGTAAGAGAACATGGGTTAAGGTAAAAAAAAATATATAGGAACTTTTGATATTTTTTCAAATGTTTCTTTTTAAAAGAAAGCTAAATTCGACATTTTGTGACTGAAAAAATTGTCACTGAATCTAAATTTACTTCTTTTTAAATAACCATGCCCTTATAAAAAATTCTGCAATCCTTACTTTCACACTTAATTTTACAGCAGGGATATTTCTGGACATCACAGGCCGTCACTTTGTTATCCACGGAATTGCATTCTTTGCTGCTAATTTGAAAGATGCCAAGTTTTCTCTCACCATTGCCCAGAGGGGTTACTTTTTTCGTGTCACGATCACTTTCATGTTCTATCAAACAGATCCCTATTAAATAAAGAAAAAAATGTCAAGTCAAGTAAAAAAAATAATAAAAAAAATAAAAAAAATTACAGTGGATCTTCCAATAGACACTCTCATATACGGATATATACACATGGCTACAACATTACTTAAAAAAGAAACATAAATACAGGGTGAGATAAAAAAACTGCAACAAAGTCAAACGCCATAATTTTTACGTTTTTTTTTAATTTTTTTTAATGAAAACAAAAAATGTCGGAAATAGCATCAAATTTTAGAATAAGTTTAGATTTGTTCGAATTTGTCACCTTTGGCACGAATTATGGCCTTTAAACGGCCAATGAAACCGTTACACGCTGCCCGAATGTTGTTGTGCGGTATTTTGGCCCATTCTCGGCGAAGCGTTTGTTTCAGGTGATCGAGACTTTGGTATTTTTTAGTGCCAACCTTGCTTTCCAAAGTACTCCAGACACAATGGTCCAACGAATTGGCAACCGAAGTTTTTGGTGGCAATTGTGCGCGAGGAACCTCATTTTGTAACCATTCTTGGGTGCTCTGCGGTATTTTGGTCCATTCACGGCGCTTGGAATTTGGTGCCAACCTTCCTTTCCAAAATACTCCAGACACAATGGTCTAACGGATTGGCATCCGGAGATTTTGGTCACCATTGTGCGCTGGAAATGAAGCGAGGAACCTCTAATTTGTAACCATTCTTGGGTGGCGCGTGCTGAGAGAGCGATGGTGCTGAGTCCTGTTGGAATGTCCAAGGTCTGCGGCCAAAATGTTTGCGTGTCCAAGGCTTTAATACACCCTCCAGAATATTTTCGCGATAATATTCGGCATTTATTCCGATGCTACGGTCTATTAATATGAGCGGAGAGCGATCATCGGCTGTTATGGCGGCCCACACCATCACCATGGCCGGCGCTTGAGTTCTGTTGGCCAACCGTAGGTGCACACTTTCAGCTGATCTCTTTGGCAAGTAAACACGATCATTTTGTTTGCTGGACAACGAAAAAACTGCTGGACAACGAATGTTTTCTCATCGGAGAAAACCAAATTCGGCAGTTCACCACTTTTGGCCAGTTCACCACTTTCGCCCAAGCGAAGCAACTCTTTAGCTCTTTTGAGTCTATTTTCTTTCTGTTGAGGTGTAAGTTCTTGCACTTTTTGGAATTTCAATGGCTTTACCCCGAGCTCATTTTTCAATATTTGCTGAATGATATTGCAATATGTTCAGCTCACGAGCCATTTTTCGGCCACTGCGAAGCGGGTTTCGATCAAGTCGCTTCTTTAATTTTCGATTCACTTCTGCTGATGTTGTTATTTTCTTTCGTCCACTTCCTTGACGCCAAGCGATGGTACGAGACACAAAAGATTTATTCAAATTTAAATGCTGGAGTGCTCTTACAATAGCCACTTGTGGTTTTCCAGCCAAATATAAAGAAACCACACCATCACGCTTGAATTCCATCGCGAATAACTTTTTTTCTGGAAAATTCTCACCGAAATGCTTAGCGTACGCTTGTAAACGATATAATGAGCTGTCACTGGAATAATTTTAACAGCTGTCGGACGAGTGGCTTAGAAATGACAGCAGTCTGAAGTTGGTCGCAGTTTTTTTCATCTCACCCTGTATGCTTATATTTTCATGACTTAGAAATTACTTGAAAAAACTAATCATTAAATTTGTTATGCCTACTTTAGGGAGGCTCCACTGTAAATCACTTAGTTGTACTCACAATTCGATAGGAATGTCTTATTCACCCGATATTTGTCCAGCAACTCGCGTGCCAATTCACAGCGTAAATATTTCTTGCCCTGGACCCTCGAAGTCGAGTGTAGCAGCAGAATCGTTGTTGTAATTAAAAATATTAGCAACAATTTGTTATTTTTACGCTGATACATAATTGCTCTGACATTAACTTCTAATCTACAAACAATTTGGAATTATTTTTTTTCCTCCCGTTGAAGAAAGAAACAAAAATCCTCCGAAAAACCTTCCAACAAATCCAAACGCTGTGTACGAACTGAAAACGTAAATTGATTTATTTAGAAATGCTTTTTTTTTTTTTCAAAATAACATTGATCTTGATTATTCCGCAGAATTCTCTGTGTGGTTGTAGTGTCACTCGCAAATATTGCATTGTGGCTGTTGTGCGGAGTAAGAGAGGAGGGTATTTTTGCAATTTGCGATAAGAATAAAATATTCTGCCACAGGCATCACTAAATAATCGCATTTTTGTCGCTTTTTTTGGGAGATAAGGAAATGGGGGATTGCTGAGATTTTTACCGGTTGTTCTATTGACAAGGCCAAAGATTATTTGTTCCCCGGGAGAGATGATTAAGCTTAGAGCGTTTTTCGGGTTTTAAGAATATTTGGGCTTTAGAGGTCTGCTTTAGAGGTCTGCTCTTCATCTTTTTTAAAGATGAATGTTTAGAAATCATCTATAAGAAGACAATTTTTTTCAAGTGTGAAAAAAGTGGATTTTTTTTTTTTTTGAGAAAATTTTTAATGACTTTTAAAAAAGAATTTTTTAGAGTAAAATCGAGGATTTTTTAATGAAATTTTAAAGGAAAAATGTATGTTTTGCTAAATTTAAAATCAAAAATTTTTAGGGGAAATTTCTGGGAAAATATTAAGGAATTTTTTAAAGAGAATTTCTATAAAAGGGTTGAACTTGTTTTTTTTTATAGAAAAACGTAGATTTTTATAAGAGTTTTAAAATTTTTATAAAAGGTTTAAAAAGTTGTTTTTTTTTTAGAAAATTTGAAGGTAAAAACGTAGATTTTAAAAGAAAAATGTATGTTTCGCTAAATTTAAAATCAAAATTTTTTAGGGGAAATTTCTGGGAAAATGTTAAGTATTTTTTAAGGAAATTTTTATAAAAGGTTAAAACTTGTTTTTTATTTTTTTTTTGAAAATTGGAAGGGAAAAAACGTAGATTTTAAAGGAAAAATGTATGAGCCGCTAGAGTTAAAATCATCAATTTTTAGGGGAAATTTCTAGGAAAATTTTAAGGATTTTTTTTAAGGGAATTTTTATAAAAAGTTAAAGCTTGTTTTTTTATTGAAAATTTGAAGGTAAAAACGAGAAAACCTATGTCTCGCTGAAGTTAAAATCTTAATTTTTTAGGGGAAATTTCTGGGAAAATGTTAAGGATTTTTTAAAGGAAATTTTTATCGAAGGTTAAAACTTGTTTCTTTTTTATACAAAATTTGAAGGTAAAAAACCTAGATTTTAAAGGAAAAATGTATGACCCGCTGAAGTTAAAATCATAAATTTTCAGGGGAAATTTCAGGGAAAATTTTAAGGAATTTTTTAAGGGGAATTTTTACAAAAGTTAAAAAATTTTTTTTAGAAAATTTGAAGCTAAGAAAACTTAGATTTTGGAAGGAACTTGTTTGCGATTCTGGCCTTAATTTTTAAGCAACAATTTTAAAAACCCTCTTAAGTAAAAATAAAGAAATTTTGATTTTTTTTTTGGGTTTTGCCAAATGTCATTTAAGAGCTCTTAAAATATATTATATATATTGCAGGTCAACATTCTCTAAAAAGACAGATTTGTAAAGAAATCTTTAAGGCCCGAAATCTCGAATCAAGTCCTTACACGTAAATTTTCAAAAACAGTTTTTGAGTCTTTCTTGTCTTTGGAACGTGAAATTTCTAAGCACCACTAAGGGACATAAGGTTCACCCAGGCTTTCTACATAAATTTTTAAGATCCGGTTGAGAACTAAGAAATTGTCCACTAACCTCTTAAGGCCGGTTTAATGTCAAAACTTGTGAATTTTTCAAGGAATTTTTCTTTCTAGGTCCCTGAAAGGCCTAATATTTTTTATGTTGAGGTACCACACATTACCTCAAACTTGAATTTTGAATTTAATTAGTGACGACTTTTTATTATATTACGGGAGTAAGAAATCTTTTAGATCTCTTCTCTAGATAGAAGAATTGTCAGGGTTCTTCAAGAGATAAAAGAACCAGTAAAATAGTATCAGTCGGTTTTGACTACAGATTTATACCCCCAGCCTTGAGTTATGATTATTCAAATTATTGACCTTTTTTGGGTTATAAAGATTGTAGAGATCGGGCCATTCCTTCTGGTACTTCCCCTAAAAGGGTCAAAGTTTTAAATAACCAACACGATCATAATATCCGAAATAAGCTTCATGTTCTCTTCATATTTCACATATATCATAATTTCTACTAACACAAAATCTGCTGTGAAAATTGGATATATCGATCCACTCCTAAATTCAAATTTTGAATATCCGTGAAGCTCATAAACATCTTTTGGAGTTCTTCTATAGTGCAAAAACAGGCACCCGGGCCTTAAATGAGAGCAATTCTCTCCACACTCACAATCAGAACCAATGAAAAACAATGTAATCAGAGAGTAATAATATTGAGCGAAATTCTCTCCACGCAAATTGGGTGAACATAAAAGCATGTCTCTCCGCCCGATCCTGTTCTATAGAGAGAGGCTTCGAAGAGACCTTTTGAGGTAGTTCTGTAGTCTGGTAGACCTGTTAGATGTGTAAGCTCATGAGATCTCTAAAATGTTCTTAATATATTAATATATAAAGGAGTGTCAGAGAGATATGAGCCATGCAAGAGCCCTCTGCAAATTGAGGACCTTTAAGAGATGAACTTCTCACATAGATCGTTTATATCCTTTATATAATGAACGCCCTCCGCAAATCGAAAACCTTTGAAAGATCTTCAATAGGTGGAAAAACTTCAAGGTGAACATTCAAATGTCTCCGTTAGACGTTTTTAGTGGTCTTTTAAGCTCAACATACCTCTAAAATATCCTAGAACGCCATTAAGGGGGTTTCCAGAGATATGAACCATTTAGGGGCCGCTTAAGACTTTTAAAGACGTTTGAGAAATTTGAAGGAGGTTGGAGAACTTCAAGAGGGTATATTATCGATAGAATTACATCTAAGCTCAAGAGACTACTAAAATATCCCAGAACGCCATTAAGGGGTTTCCCAAAGATATAAACCAATTAGGGGCCGCTTAAAAATATTAAAGACCTTTAAGAGATTTGAAGGAGGTTGAAGAACTTCAAGAGGGTATATTATCGATAGAATTACATCTAAGCTCAAGAGACCTCTAAAATATCCTAGAACGCCATTAAAGGGTTTCTCCAGAGATATGTGCCATGTAAGAGAACCTCTTCGAACTTTAGAAGACCTTTGAGAGATTTTAATAGGTGGAAGAACTTCAAAAGGGTATGTTATCGATAGGATCATTTCTAAGCTCAAGATACCTCTAAAATATACTAGAACGCCATTAAGGAATTTTCCGGAGATATGAGCCATGTAAGGACCTCTTCGGACTTTAGAAGACCTTTGAGAGATTTTAATAGGCGGAAGAACTTCAGGAGGGTATATTATCGATAGAATTACATCAAAGCTCAAGAAACCTCTAAAATATCCCAGAACGCCATTAAGGGGTTTCTCAGAGATATGAGCCATGTAGACGAAGATCTTTGATAGATTTTAGTAGGTGGAAAACTTTAAGATGTTGTATTATCGATAGAATCGCATCAATAAATCGGGGATTTTTAAAGATCTTACATATTCTACATGCATTTTTGAAGGTCTCCGGTAAAAATATACGTAACACACATACAATATATTTTGAAGAAGACAGGAGAACTCCTTTAGAAGACCTTTAAAATTTTTTAAAAGGGTTTGTGGTTTTTCTTAATTTCGAAATTCGATGGGGCAGAATATCTTTTAAAGGTCGTTTATAAACCTAGAAAGCACTGCTTATGATTCTCATGGAATAGAAGATTTTTTAGATGTATTCTTGAGATATATGTCACCACAGAGTTTTTTTTTTTTGTATAACCTCCACCATTCGATGGAGGGTATATTAGCTTTGTCATTCCGTTTGTAACTCCTCGAAACACCCTACAAAATATATATATATTCTGGATCAGCGTAAAGTTCTAAGACGATTTTGCGATGTCCGTCTGTCTGTCTGTTAAGGTTAAGTTCGAAAATGACACGTCTTCGTATAGACCCCGTATAACGGTTCCTGTCTTTATTCGGTATTTTGATGGTTTTAGAGACATTATTCGCCCGAATTGATTCAAATTTCGTATTCGAAGTATGTGATGGGTACGTCAGCCTATGCCTGAAAAACTCGTATGCAGGTCTATGTCTTCGTATAGCCCCCATATAACGGTACCTCCCGATATTCGGTATTTGATGATTTTAGCAACATCATTCACCCGAATTGTTTCAAATTTCATATTCGAAGTTTGTAATAAGTACTGCAGCCAATGCCAAACAATTTTCTATGCAGGTCTACGTCTTCGTATAGCCCCCATATAACGGTACCTCCCGATATTCGGTATTTTGATGATTATAGCGACATTATTCGACGGAATTGTTTCAAATTTTATATTCGAAGTTCGTAACGGGTAGTACAGCCTATGATAATGAATTACTTATGCAGGCAGGTCTGCGTCTTCGTATAGCTCCCGTATAAAGGTCATCATTTAAACGGAATTTTTCGGAATTTCTTGACATTTTCAAGTTCTATCCAAATGGTGAAGGCCCGGCCGAACTTATTTTTTACTTGTTTTTTTTTTTTTTTTTTTTTTTTAATAGAAGTCCCTAGGGTATCTCTTATCCTCTTGGAAATCATCTTCGAAGGCCATTTTTAGTTAAAAGACCTTTAGGAGATTTTTTTTTCAAATGAAGGAGGCAATTAAGATGTCTGCCGTAAAACAGAGATGTATTTTTGTAGCAAGTATTTTGAAGATATTCAATAAAATAAAATCCATCTCAGCGCAGCAGGAGGCAATTGTGAAGCCTGCCTCAAATAAAGATGTTTTTTTATGTAGAAAATCTTTCGAAGTCATTCCATAACAGAACATCCCGCTCAGTACAGCCTATTGTACTTCTAGAATTCCCCATTAAAACAGCCTCTGCCATAATTTACATGATTATGACTTAGAAGAAACAAAAAAAAATTAATATTTTTACACAATAATACTTATTTAAAAATAAATTATTGAAAAAAAGCTCTCATTAGCCTCCTAACCACAGAGACAAAAAACACAGATCGTGTATTTGACAAAACTGTCACAGCAAAGTAAAGTGAGGCGTTTTGTTTGCGGTTTTAGCGGCGCACACTAATTCGTATTTTGGCAGGGGGTCTCGATTTGGGAAGGGCGGATAGCAGAATTCGTAGTGTTATTTGACAATAAAACAAATCCATTTGATGTAATCTTTTTCGAAACACTTATTGAATATGGTTCGATAACATGTTGTTCTTTGTTCGAATCGTTTTGCTACGAATTATGTTGGAAGAATACAAAATCGCCGAGAACAAGATGTGAATATTAATTGTGGAGATTATTTGGCCGCACTTTATGTTATGTTGTTTTCTCACTGATGTTCTGCTAATGACTAGTTGGCTGACTGGCTGACTGACATTTCACAAGTAGTCAGACACAAGTAATTAGTAGCTGGATACACAAAGAAAAAAAAACTGATCTCGGCGAATAGATAGATTATTGCAGTTGTTTAAAAGAGATATAAATAATATTTGAAATTGCATGAGATTTTTCCAGGCATTTAATGGGTTAATCTATTAAAATGGCATTGCTTTGCAAGGGCTATATGTTCAGTTTCAATATTTCTATAACACGGGGCGAAAAATTCAACTTTTCCAATAATTATAGGGAAAATCCAGCAGATTATAAAAGCAGTGGTAACAACTAAAAAAGCAGCTAAGTTCGGCAGGGCCGAAATTTTTAAAACCCTCCGCCATGTTGAAGGATTTGGAAAATTTTCAAAAAAAGAAAAAAAATCCGTAGAAAAATACCTCCCTTATATGAGGGCTATACCAAGACGTGGTCCCTCATAATAAATTTTTATACCCTCCACCATAGTATGGAGGGTATATTAAGTTTGTCATTCTGTTTGGAACACCTCGAAATATACATTTTAGACCCCACAAAATTCAATGTTGATTTAGCGATGTCCACCCGTCTGTCCCTCTGTGGAAATTACTCTAGCTTCCGAACGAAATGATGTAGATTGATAAAATTTTACTCAAATGTTTATTATGTTTGCAGGACTTTTGGTATTGAAAATGGACTATGTAGGTTCACGTCTTCGTATAGCCCCCATATAACGATACCTCCAGATATTCGGTATTTTGATGATTTTAGCTACATTATTCACCCGAATTGTTTCAAATTTGGTATTTGAAGTTCGTAATGGATATTATAGCCTAAGACAGAAAATTGTCTGTGCAGGCCCATGCCTTCGTATAGCCCCCAACGGTACCTCCTGATATTCGGTATTTTGATGATTTTAGCGACATTATTCACCAGAATTGTTTCAAATTTGGTATTTGAAGTTCGTAATGGGCAATACAGCCTAAGACAGAAAATTGTCTGTGCAGGTCCACGTCTTAGTATAACGGTATCTGCCGATATTCGGTATTTTGATGATTTTAGCGACATTATTCACCCGAATTGTTTCAAATTTGGTATTTGAAGTTCGTAATGGATACTACAGCCTAAGACAGAAAATTGTCTGTGCAGGTCCACGCCTTCGTATAGCCCCCATATAACGATTCCTCCTGATATTCGGTATTTTGATGATTTTAGCGACATTATTCACCGGAATTGTTTCAAATTTGGTATTTGAAGTTCGAAATAGATGCTACAGCCTAAGAAAGAAAATTGTCTGTGCAGGTCCACGCCTTCGTATATAACGGTATCTCCCGATATTCGGTATTTTGATGATTTTAGCGACATTATTCATCGGAATTGTTTCAAATTTTGTAGTTGCAACTGCATTGACGTTTTGAAAGTTGCAACGCGAAGTAACCTGAATAGAGGGTGCAATTTCCCACTTCTTGCATTTTTTTTCACATGTTCGGATTCAGATTTTTTGGAATCCATTGATGTTCGGTACATAGGGTCTTTGGCAATATTGCAGGTAAAAATACGAAGATTATTTCGGTAGACATTTTTAACCCTCAAGCTAGTTATCAAAGGGGTCTTTTGGTCCTTTTTTCAAAATATGGTTAAAAACGCCCGTTAAATGGGATCATAGCAAGTCAAAATACTTTACAAAATTATTTGTCATAAAATTCTGCTATAGGGTCTAGAATATGCAAAAAGTCTAAACCTTACCTAAAGGACAGGAGTTCATATCTATCAAAAACACATTTTGGGGTTAAAACATTACTTTATGTGAGTTTATGGAAAAATCTCCTACAAAACATCATTTTAGAAGAATAACATTAAAGACAAAAATATTCTTCATCAAATTTCACTATAAGTCACTCAAGAAAAAAAAAAAAATAATATTTTCTTTGTATATCAGAAAAATAGGTCTATCAATTTTCAAAAAAAAAAAAAATAAAAAAATAAAATAAAATAAAAAAATCCAATTTTTGATCAATTTTTTCTTGGCCTTTTTTTGATTGTACCCCTAAAAGTAACATAAAATTTCGTTTTAGGCAGAAATGATCAAAAGCAGAAATATTCTACACAAAATTTCACAACAAATTTCAGAATAGACTATAAATCTAAATACAATAGTTTTTAAGAAAATTACGTTCGAAATTTATGATTTATAAGTGAAAATTTGCTTTTTAATGGTTAAACCCGTACCTTATGTGAGTTTATGGAAAAATCTCCTACAAAATATCATTTTAGAAGAATTGCATTAAAGACAAATATATTCTTCATCAAATTTCACTATGAGTCACTCGAGAAGAAAACTCAATATTTTTTATTGCATATCCCAAAAATATTTCCATCAATGTTCCAAAAAAAAAAAAAAAAGCCGAAAACATTTCTTAATTTTTTATCAATTTTTTCTCGGGCTTTTTTCGAGTTGACACCTGAAAGTAACATAAAATTTCATTTTAGGCCGAAGGTGTCAAAAGAAGAAATATTCTACACAAAATTTCACTATAAATTTCAGATTAGACTAAATATCTAGGTACAATAGTTTTTTAAAAATTACATCCGAAAGTTATGGATTACAAGTGAAATTTATGTGTTCTTTTTTTGCTGTACATTTAACGCGTTTCCATTCAAAGTCAAAATCTCCCTTTATACTTGATTTTTTGAGAAAAATGTCAAAGGAAGAATTATTCTAGATCAAATTTCATTGTGAGTTTCTGAACAAAAGAAATTTGTATATTCAATGTGGACCATGAGAAAATATCATAAATTTTTGTTTATAAAAAACCTTAAAAAATTTAATTATTTTTCCAATTCGCTGTAAATTTTCTTATAATACCCCTACACTAGTCAGCCTAGATACAATTCCAAATGAATTTGTTAGTACTCGTTTGCAGATCAGACCCCCAAAGGAGTTTCGGATTCTTAGTAATACCTTAATTTTTTTTTTTGAAAATTTATACTTTATATATTTTCCAAGTCCTTTGTTTTAGATTTATTTTAAGAATTCTTAATGCCTATACGCCGATGCAAAAAGTCGCGATAGCGGCGTAACTGTATTGATATTACAGGCAACACTTAAATTTGGCAAGTTTTGAGGATTACGACAGAACGAACTCCAACCATTCCAATTTTGGAAGCCTTTCAAATCGAATATTCTTTGGGCACAGGCCACATCATCGGATATGTCGTCGTTGAGGAAATCTAGAAAGCAAGAAACAGAAGGAGACATAAGAGAAAGTGGGACTTTTTTTCTGGGGTTCACTCACTTTCACATTTCACTTTACAGCAGGGATATTTTTGTGTGTCACAAGATGTCACCTTGCTGCCATCGTTGCATTCTTTGCTGCTTATCTGGAAAATGCCGAATTTGTTTACACCATTCCCAAGGCGGGTGACCTTCTTTGTGTCGCGATCACTTTCGTGTTCAATTAGACATATCCCTGGAAAATAGAGACAAAGGAAGGTATTGTAAGGTTTTAATGAAATTGTAAGCATAGATTTCAGATAGAGATAGAGAAGGTCATTAAGATAATAATACTGTACAACACAAAAAATAATTATAGGGAAGGTCCAGCAGATTATAAAAGTAGAGCTAACAAAAGAAGACACTTGTGTAGGCGTTTTGAAAGATTATATCACAAAGTAACCTAAATACAGGGGGCAAGCCCTCCCCCACCCCTCTTCCACACTTCTGGAAATTTTCATATTAATATTCTTCGGAATCCCTGCATTGGCAATATTGCAGATAAAAATACTAGGAATATTTTGTTCGAAAATATTAACCCTAAAGCGAGTCAACAAAGGGGTCTCTTTGGTCCTTTTTTTAATATGGTGAAAACTTTCCTACATTATTTTCTATTGTACAAAATTATTTGTCACAAAATTCTACTATAGGTCAAAGAAGGCATTAAAAGTCTAAATCTTACCTAAACGCCAGGAATTCATATATATTAACAAGTAAAACAGCAGTAAGTTCGACCAGGCCGAACTTTGAATACTCTCACCTGGAACAAATTTGAAAATTTTCCAAAAAATAAAATCCGTTAATAATTCTGTTAAAATCTTAAAAATACCGAATATAACCGTTATATTGGGGTCTATACGAAGACGTGGACCTGTATAGCCAACTTTTGTCATAGGCCATTACAATATCCAAATACGAAACTTGAAAACTGGTGAATAATGTAGCTAAAATCATTAAAATACCGAATATAAGGGATACCGAAATAGGGGGGCTATACGAAGACTTGGACCTGCATAGACAATTTTCTTGCATAGGCTGTAGTTTCCATTGCGAACTCTAAATACTAAATTTGAAACAACTCCGTCGAGTCATTTCGCTGAAATCATCAAAATACCGAAGATTGGGAGGTACCGATATATAGGGCCTATACGAGGACCTGGACCTGCATCGACAATTTTCTGAAATAGACTGTAAGTACCCATAAACAACTTCAAATACGAAATTTGAAACTATTCTGGTGAATAACGTCGCTAAAATCATTAAAAATACCGAATATTGGGAGGTACTGTTATGTGGACCTATACGAAGACCTGGGTCTACTAACGAAATTTTGTGTCATAGGCTGGAGTACCTATTACAAACTTCGAATAAAAAATTTGAAACAATTCCTGTGAATATTGCATCTAAAATCAGCAAAATACCAAATATAGAGAGGTACTGATATATGGGGCCTATACGAAGACCTGGACAAGCATAGACAATTTTCTATCACAGTCTGTAGTACCTATTAGGAACTCAAAATACGATATTTCAATAACTTCGGTGAATATTGTACCTAAAATCGTCAAAATACAGAATATAGGGAGGTACAGATATATAGGACCTGAACCTTTAAATTTAATTTTGTGTCACATACTGTAGTACCTATTAGGAACTTCAAGTGTGAAATTTTAAACAATTTCGGTGAATATTGTACCTAAAATCGACAAAATACCGAATATAGAGAGGTACTGATGTATGGGGCCTATACGAAGACCTGGACCTGCAAAGACAATCTTCTTGCATAGACAGTAGTATTCATTGAGATATTCAAATACAAAATTTTAAACATCTCCGGTGATCTCCGAAGATCGGGAGGTGTCGTTAAATGGGGGATATACGATATCGTGGACCTATATAGACAACACTCTTCCAAGCGGTAAAGTACTTAGATGGAACTCCTTTTTTGGATTTTCAGACAATTTTATTGAAAAATTTGGCTACAATCATCAAAATACCGAATAACAGGGGGGTACGGTTATATGGGGGCTATACGATACCGTGGACCTTTATAGATAATTCTTTTTCAGGGGGTAAAGTGCTTAGAAAGAACTTCTAATGTGGATTTTCAGAAAACTCCATTGAAAAATGTAGCTAAAATCATTAAAATACCTTCTATCGGGAGATGCCCTTATATGGGGGCTATGAGATATCATCGACGTATATAGACAATACTCTCTCAGGGGGTAGAGTACTCAAAACAAATTTTTTTTGTGGATTTTCAGACAATTTCATTGAAAAATTTGGCTACAATCATCAAAATACCAAATATCAGGGGGGGGGGGGGGGTTACTCTTATATGGGAGCTATACGATATCGCGGACCGATATAGCCCCTTCTTCGATCTTCACCTGCCTGTAGACAAAAGATTGATATGTGTAAAATTGTAGCATCCTATCTTTATTCGGTTTGACTGCAATTTCATTGAAAAATTTGGCTACAATCATCAAAATACCAAATATCAGGGGGGGGGGGGTTACTCTTATATGGGAGCTATACGATATCGCGGACCGATATAGCCCCTTCTTCGATCTTCACCTGCCTGTAGACAAAAGATTGATATGTGTAAAATTGTAGCATCCTATCTTTATTCGGTTTGACTGCAGCATGAGACGGGCAGGGCTTAAAATCGTTACTTTGTGTGAATTTGTGCAAAAATCTCCATCATTTTAGAAGTATGTCATTAAAGACAAAAATATTCTGTATAAAATGTTACTATAAGTCACCGAAGATAAGAAATCTCTATTTTCATTGTATATTAAATAAATATAGGTATCAATGTTCCGAAAAAATTTCAGAAATTTTTTTTCTTTTTTTTTTTTTTTTGATAATTTTTTCTCGGACTTTTTTCGAGTTAACGGCTGAAAGTAACATCAAATTTCATTTTAGGCCGAAGGTGTCAAAAGAAAAAATATTCTATACAAAATTTTATTTTAAATCTCAGAATAAATCATATAGCTAGGTACAATAGTTGTTACGAAAATTTCATTAAAAACTTATTTGAAAAATAAAAAATAAATAAAATAGACATTTTTTATAAAATAGATTTCTATAATTTCTTTAAATAGTAAACTTCATCCCTTCCCTCCCCCAAGACTGAAATTTCTCCAAATAAAAAAAGAAAATACTTACAATTCGATAAAAACGTTTTATTCACTTTATATCTCTCCACCAGTTCGCGGGATAATTCACAGCGTAGATATTTCTTGCCATAGGCGGGGGAGGTGCAATGCAGCAGCAACAGCAAGACAATCGTGATTGAGGCAATCAATTTTAATTTGACTTTTTGACTTTGCATATTATTGAATGATTACAATTGTACTTCAAACAAAAATCTAAAAAAAATAAATAAATAATTAAAAATTATTATTACTCTCTCTGCGTACCACCTCTCTTAGGAGAAAGATCTCTGCCAGGAATGACAGTGATCTTGAAAATACAAAAATTGAAATTTTCTCACATTGACAATGTCTTGTAAGAATATTTCACCTAAAGATAACCGAAAGATAAGAGTGTTTATTTTTCAAATAGTTTAGTTGGGTACCATTCGTAAACAAACAAAATTTCAAAATTATTACAGTGGAACATGGCTAAAATGGACATTGGTTACTAAATATGATTTTATGAAAAATAATTGCTAGGGGTTTTAATATACGAACAAAGACACATATTTCGGGTATTCGTACTTAGGGGTGGGGTGAAGGCAGATTATGAAAATAGAGCTAAAAATAGAAGACAATAACAAAGTATATATTTTATTGATCAGCGTAAAATTCTAAGACGATTTAGCCTTATACGTTCATCCGTTTGTCCACCTGTTGTAATCATGCTAAAGTCAAAACAAATAAAGATAGTAAGCTAAAATTTTGCACAGATCAGCCTTTTGTCTGCAGGCAGGTCAAGTTCAAAGATGGGCTATATCGGACTACGATATCGTATAGCCCCATGTAACGGTACCCCCCAATATTCGGCATTTTGATGATTGTAACCAATTTTTTCCAAGAAATTTTTTGAAAATCTACAAAAGGAGTTCTTTGTGAGTACTTTACCCCCTGGAAGAGAATTGTCTATATAGGTCCACGATATCGTATAGCTCCCATACAACGCCGCCCCCCCTATATTCGGAATTTTGATGATTTTAGGGGCATTATTCACCCGAATTGTTTCAAATTTTGTATTAAGAGTTCGTACAGACTATGCCTAAAAATATCGTATGCAGGTCCACGTCTTCGTATAGCCCCCATATAACGGTACCTCCCGATATTCGGTATTTTGAGGATTTTAGCGACATCATTCACCCAAATTGTTTCAAATTTCGTATTCGAAATTTGTAATGGGTACTACAGACTATGAAAAAAAAAATCGTATGCAGATCCAGATCTTCGTATAGGCCCCATATATCAGTACCTCCCAATATTCGTTTTTTTGATGATTTAAGCTACATAATTCACCGGAATTGTTTCAAATTTTGTATTTAGAGTTCGTAATGGGTACTACAGCCTGTGACAGAAAATTGTCTAGGCAGGTCCACGTCTTCGTGTAGGCCCCATACATCGGTACCTCCCGATATTCGGTATTTTGATGATTTTACCGACATTGTTCACCGGAATTGTTTGTTTCAAATTTTGTATTTAGAGTTCGTAATGGGTACTACAGACTATGACAAGAAATTTCGTATGTAGTTCAAAGTTTTCGTATAGGCCCCATTTGTCGGTACCTCCCGATATTCGGTATTTTGATGATTTTAGCGACATCTTTCACCTGAATTGTTTCAAATTTCGTATTCGAAGTTTGTAATGGTTTCTACAGCCTGTTACAGAAAATTGTCCAGACAGGCCCAGGTCTTCGTATAAGCCCCATATCACGGTACCTCACCATATTCGGTATTTTGATGATTTTAACGCCCGAATTTTTTGAATCTTCGTATTTGAAGATATTAATGGCTACTACAGCCTGTCACAGAAAATTGTCTATGCAGGTCCAGGTCTTCGTATAGGCCCCATATATCGGTACCTCCCCATATTCGGTATTTAGATGATATTAGCTACATTATTCACCGGAATTGTTTCAAATTTCGTATTTGAAGTTTGTAATGGGTTCTACAGCCTGTTACAAAAAATTGTCTAGGCAGGTCCAACACTTCATATAGGCCCCATATATCGGTACCTCCCCATATTCGGTATTTGGACGATTTTAAGTACAATAATCCTCGAAATTATTTGAAATGTCGTATTTGAAGTTCCTAATAGGTACTATAGCCTGTGACAGAACATTTTAGTATGCAGGTCCACGTCTTCGTATATGCCCCATATATCGGTACCTCCCCATTTTCGGTATTTGGTTGAATTTAGCGACATTATTCAGCGGAGTTGTTTCAAATTTTGTATTTAGAGTTCATATATGGAACTACAGTCTTCGACAGAAAATTGTCTATGCAGGTCCACGTCTTCGTATAGCCCCCATATAACGGTACCTCCCTATATTCGGTATTTTGACGATTTTAGGTTCAAAAATCATCGAAATTATTTGAAATGTCGTATTTGAAGTTTCTAATAGGTACTACAGCTTGTGACAGAAAATTGTCTAGGTAGGTCTAGGTCTTCGTATAGGCCAAATATGTCGGTACCTTCCAATGTTCAGTATTTTGATTATTTTAGGTACAATATTCACAGAAATTATTTGAAATGTCGTATTTGTAGTTCCCGTCGTATTTGTACTACAGCCGGTGTTTTTAAAATTTGAACAGAATTTTTAACGGATTTTATTTATTTATTTATTTATTTTTTTTTTTTTTTGAAAATCTCCAAATTCGTTTCAAATGGTGGGCCGAAATTTGAAAACCCTCCACCATTTCAACAGAATGTGGAAATTTTCAAAAAAAAAAAAAAAAAAAATCCGTTAAAAATTCTGTTAAAATTTTCAAAACACCGAATATACCCGTTAAAAAGGAGGGGGGCTCTTTACTTGTATAACTTTACTGTCTTAGAGCCATTCTAGGCTTGAAAAAAACGCGGATTTAATAGTACTCGGTTTGTAGATCAAAATTCAGAAAAAAAAGACTCGGGTTGTTAGGCCAAACTTTTATAAGGCTTTTATATAGTCTCGACCCTATACAAAGGCTCTCCACACTTTAAGATATATTTCACATGTTTCACATTTAGGATAGAGTTTTTGAATTTCATAGAAATTTTTAAATTGCATGCAGAATTATTGGTACATAAAATGGGTTATATCGGTCCGCAATTTTTTATAGCCTCCATATAAGAAAAACTTCGATTTCAGGTATTTTTAACGTTTTCGCCATATTTTCTCTTTAATTTCTCCAATTGTTGGTATTTTGAGTCCTTGTTATATAGAATCACTACTAGGAAGAAAAATATAAATTTTGGACCACGTTTTGAAGATCGTACCTAATTTTTCCCACATTTTCTAATTAATTTGTTTGAAAATATAAATATGGGCTCTTATTACAACCCACCCACCGTCACTATAATTTGGGAATGGACCAAGCAAGTATCTTCAGCCCAAGGTCTTATGGATTTAATTTTCTAACTTTCATTAAAAATACTCACGTTCCACTGTAAAATATTCTCCCATCACTTCTATGAACGATCATCATTCATTCAAAGAGAACCCGCAATTGGTAAGAAATAACCGGTTGAATGTTGGTCGTGGTCGATGACGGCCACTTGGGCAAACAGACAGGCAGTCGAACCGTTTGACTGACATACAAACAAACAAACAAACAACCATAATAATAACAACATGTGAATATAGATGAAAACAAAAAAAGAACAAAAAAAAAACAATTGCTACAACAACAAGCGCAGCAACATCAACGGGGCACACACTGAACTGATAAGGAAGAATCTTCTTTCTATTCGAACCATAAAAGGTGATGGCAACCTTTTTGTGTTGTTTCTGGGGTTTTTTTTTGCAACAACATCAATGCCACATCAGTTGCAAAACAGGTGAAGAAGATGTTCTAGTTGTTAGTTGGCGTTTTTTTGTTTTGTTTTGTTTTTCTCCGGCCATCCACAATTTTGAACTGGATACTTAGGATCCGATAGATTTCACCAGTACAACATTTCAATTGGACCATTTAAACCATTGAAAAAAAGAGCACAACACAAAAAAAGAGATTTTGAAAACAAAAACATGACATTTGTAAACCTTTTTGCTTTGGGCGCGTTTTTCGTTCCGTAATTCTTCTTCTTCTTCTTGTTTTTGCAAAAATTTATTTTAACTCGCCACCAAGAAGACAACTCCCCCCCGAAAAAATTAAACCAAAATCGATTCGATTCAAAATTAAAACACTTGTTGTTTCAATAAGTACGTTTTAAATACTGAAGACCTCCAGCTGGTGGCTATGCGGAATACCAGCGCACGGGGACAGCACGACAGACAGTTGTTGTTTGTGACGATGACAACGACGACGATAGCAAAACACAATAAAAACATTGTTTAAATTTGTTGTTGTTGTTGTGATGGTGGTGGTTGTGCCATATGAATATTGTAGTATTTTTAATGTTTTTTGTTTTTTTCTTTTCGTATTTTATTTTATTTATATTTTTTTTCAGTTCTGCACATTTCTCTCTCGTTATTGTTGTCACGGTTTTGTACAATTAAATTTTCTGTTTAGTGATTTCTATTGAGTATGACAACAACAACAACCACAGCAACCAACTATCATAAGTAAATAATAAAAAAACCTCATAGAGGATCGAAACGAACTTGATGTACCCTAATATCCGGGTTTCACGGATTACCAACCCATTATTTTAAAAGAAAATGTCGCATGAAATAATAAGCTCTTTTTCAAATCCAGCAAATTATGAATGTAGAGCTAACAAGCAGTAATTTCCGGGCCGAACTTTTTTTTTCAAAAAAAAAAAAAAAATAAAATAAATTCGTTAAAAAGTCTTTTAAAATCTTAAAAAGGTCGAATATAGCCGTTATATTCAAATTCGAAACTTGAAATAAACGGTGAATAATGTACCTAAAAATCATCAAAATACCGTATATAGGGAGGCACCGTTATATCGGAGCTATACGAAGACCTGGACCTGCATAGACAATTTTCTGTCGCAGACTTTAGCATCCATTACGAACTTCACATAAGGCATCTCAAACAATTTCGGTGAGTATTGTACCTAAAATCGTCAAAATACCGAATGTGGGGAGGTACTGATATATGGGGCCTATACGAATACCTGGACCTGCATAGACAATTTTCTGTCACAGACTGTAGATCCCATTACGAATTCTAAATACGAAATTTGAAACAATTCCGAGGAACAATGACGATAAAATCATCAAAATACAGAATATTGGGAGGTACCGTTATATGGGGGCTATACGAAGACGTGGACCTGCACTGACAATTTTCTGTCATAGGCTGTAGTAACCATTACGAACTTCAAATACGAAATTTGAAACAATTCCGGTGAATAATGTCGCTAAAAGTATTAAAATACCGAATATCGGGAGGTACCGTTATATGGGGGCTATACGAAGACGTGGACTTACATGGCCCATTTACGAACTTAACCTGCCTACTGAAAAAATAAACATGTGTGAAAAATGTTAGCCTTCTATCTCAATTCGTTCGAATGATAGCGTGATCACAACATACAAACAGACGGACATCGCTAAATCGAATTAGAATTTTACGCTGATCAAAAATATATATATGTATTTTGTTGGATCTGACAACGGAATGACAAAGTTAATATACCCTTCATAGTATGGTGGAGGGTATAAAAATGAAGAAACGTTTATCGGCGTTTTGAAAGCTTACATCGCCAGGTAACCTAAATAGAGTGGTCCAGTTCTCCCCTCTTCCAAATTTTGTGAAAATTTCGGATTAAGATTCCTTGGAATCTGTTGATTTTAGGTATATAGCGTCTTTGGCAATATTGCAGATAATACGAGGATTAGATAATACGAGGATTATTTCGGCAGATAATTTTAACCCTCAAATGAGTCAAGAAAGGGGTCTTTTTGGTACTCTTTTGAAAATAAGGCCTAAATCTCCCCCTTAACGACATCGTAGCCAATATAAATATTCTACAAAATTATTTGTCATACAATTCTACTACAGGTCCCAGAAGATATCAAAAGTCTAAATCTTAGCTAAATGCCAGGAATTTATAAATATATAAAATACTTTTTAGGGTTAATGCCATACTTTATGTGAGTTTATCCGAAAATCACCTACAAAACATCGTTTTAGAAGAACAATCATTAAGACATAAATACTCTTCATCAAATTTCACTATAAGTCACTAAAGAAGAAAAATCTGTATTTTCATTGTATATTAGAAAAATATTTCCAAAAATGCTCCAAAAAAAATCGGAAGATATTCCCTAATTTTTTTGATAAATTTTTTCTCGACCTTTTTTCGAGTTGACATCTGAAAGTAACATAAAATTTCATTTTAGGCAAAAAATGTCAAAAGAAGAAATATTCTACACGAAATTTTACTATCAATCTCCGAATAAATGATATATCTAGGTACAATGGTTTTTAAGAGAAGTACATTCGAAATTTATGTACTACAAGAGAAAATGATGTATTTAATTTTTTACTGTTAATTTAATACGCTTCCGTTCTGAGTCAAAATCTCCCTTTATACTTGATTTTTTAAGGAAAATGTCAACGTAAGAATTATTCTAAATCAAATTTCATTATGAGTCTCCGAACAAAAGTAGCTTGTATATTCAATATGTACCATAAAAATATCATACATTTTTGTTAATAAAAAAAATACCTAGTTCATTTTTGAAAAAAATTAACCCTTTTTCCAAATTCTTTCCAATTTTCTTATAATTTCACTCTTCGATAACCTGTTTTTAATGTTGAAAATGCCAAGTGGAGTCAATAGCACTCGTTTGTAGAACAAAACCTTAAAAGAGTTTCGGTTTCTTGGGCCAAACTTTGTTAAGTGGTTTATATAATTTTGACCATATACTAAGGAACCCCTTTAGTTTGAGATATATTTGCCAAAATTTAGGATAGAGTTTTGAAATTTATTAGAGATTTGTGGACTACATCCAGACATGATTCATTTTCTACATTCATTTTTATTAACTCACTTTTAAAAAAGTGATCACAAATAATAATGAGTTGTTGCCATTTTAAAGTTTTATTAACTCACTCTTAAAAAGTGATCAATGTAGAAAATGAATCATGCCGGTTCATTTATTTGGTATAGTACTCATATAAGGATAATTCCGATTTTAAGTATATTCTACGTTTGCGCCTTGTTTTCCATTTAATTTCTCCAAAATATGGAGGCTATACGAAGACGTGTTCCTGCATGTGTAATTTTTTGTTATAGGATGTGGTAGCCAATTACGAATTTAAACTACGAAATTTGAAACAATTCCGGTGAAAATGTCGCTAATGTCATCAAAATTCCGAAAAAATGACCGTTATATGAGGGCTATCCGAATATGTGGACCTGCATACGAATTTTTTTGTCATAGACTTCAACTACGAAATTTAAAAAAATGTCGGTTAATAATGTCAGGAGGAATCGTTTTATGGGGGCTATACGAAGATGTGGACCTGATTACGAAATTTTTTGTCATAGGCGGCAGTACCCATTACGAACTTCAACTACGAAATTGAAAACAATTCCGGTTAATAATGTCGCTAAAATCATTAAAATACAGAATATCGGGACGTATCATTATATATGGGGGCTATACGAAAGCGTGGACCCACATGGTTCATTTACGAACTTAATTTACCACATGGTTCATTTACGAACTTTGCCTACTGGCAAAATATTAAACCTTGAATTATTTTCCTTAAAAATTGTTATGCGGATCTTAAAAAGATTCCTTAAAACACATAATTATTAGCAGGCTGATCCTTACAAAAATGTCTTCATTGATCCTTAAAAAAGCAAGACTTTATTTCACATAGAAATAAATAAAATTCACCAGAAATAAATATCATAAAAACCCAGTGTAGATTCTTGAATTTTTTTCCTTAAAAATCGTATCCTAACAAAAAGTCCCTAAATTAGTGGCTGATCCTCGCAAAAATGTCTTTATTGATCCTTGAAAACAGTCCTTAAACTACACTCGACAAAAAAAATCCTAAAAATCAGTCTAATGGTCTGTCGATCCTTGATATCCTTAAAATTGCATGATTATTATAATGTTGATCCTTAAAAAAATTAACTATGATTATTCATTGCATCCTTGAAAAAATATCCTTAAAATCCTTTACTGAACCTTATTATTGGTAGAATATATGTCAAGGAGGTTTTCAAATATTTTTTTAGAGGTATAACCGAGTACCACTTTTTAGAATTCCAATTCTTGGTCGTATAAGTAAACTTCCTAAAACGACTTGGTGTCTCAAGATTGACTTCTTTTCGAAACCTGATAGCACGAATAGGAATAGGAGAACTTTGTACATAATTATGAGATTCTATCTTCAGTCCTCGGTGAAAATATTTTCTACTTTTGACTTATTTAGAAGCTAATTTGATCTTTAAATTGGGAATTCTTAACTTTGAGATAAACTCCCTTTTCGTATCTAAAAGGGTTATTGAAAGTACATTTACACTGGCTTTTATATACAAGTCACCAACGACTGGATGAATCGATTCTGATTACCATTTATTTTGAAATCTTCATTGAAACTATTTGAAACCACTTGCGAAGCACTTGCCACGCAGAATGCGTAATTTAATTCCGCTGATTTCAATTTCTGTACTTTTAATGGAATTCAAAAAAAAAAACGGAACTGTAGCACTTCCCAATCCCCAAAATAACTTATATGGCCATGTATAGGGTTTAATGAAATACACACAGTATGATGTGTGTGTATGGCTTAATACACGTGCATGTGTGTTTGTGTTGAATTGTTTTTACTACCTGCAAGCAAATGTTTGCGTTTTGTTAATCGTATTTATTTAAATTATATTTTTCAACAAATCATATGTTTTAAGCTTTTTATATTTTATTTACTCTTTCTCTATCTCTCTCTCTCTCTCTCTGCGGGAGAAAGAGACTGTAAATCAGAGAAATATCTGTTGTTGAAAATGATGCCTACGTGTAGTGGGTGTAAGAGCTTGTGTTTGCACAATATTGTTTTGTTCTTGCTCTCTCTCTCTCCCTCTTTCTCACTCTCGGTGTAAAGATCATTGCAAACTCTTATCTGTTTGAAATTTTGCATGCAATTAGGCAATGAACGTTGACGGCGGGTCTTATCGGCTAATTATGGATTTCTTGGAATTCCCCATTGTTCTGAAAAAAAAAAACGTAACATTGTACATAGTATTTAAACTATAAAATGATAATGGGTTATTGCAGGGCATTTGATTAAATAAACTTAGTTAACGTTAACAGGGTGAGATAAGAAAACTGCAACAAAGTCAAAGGCATACTTTTAACATTTTTTTAAAATTTTATTGAATGAAAGCCAAAAATTTCAGAAATAGCATCAAATTTTGGAATAAGTTTAGATTTTTTTCGAATTTGTCACCTTTGCCACGATTTATGGCCTTCAATCGGTGATCAACACTTTTGTATTCTTTAGTGCAACCTTGCTTTCCAAAATACTTCAGACACATTAGTCCAACTGATTGGTATCCGGAGGTTTTTTGTGGCCATTGTGCGGTGGAAATGAAGCAAGGAACCTCATTTTGTAACCATTCTTGGGTGGCGCGTGCTGAGTGCTGTTGGAATAACCAAGGTCTGCGGCCAAAATGTTTGCGTGTCCAAGGCTTTAATATACCCTCCAAAATATTTTCGCGATAATATTTGGTATTTATTCTGATGTCTGATGTCGCGGCAGTTCACCACTTTCGGCCAAGCGAAGCAACTCTTTAGCTCTTTTAAGTCTATTTTCTTTCTGTTGCGGTGAAAGTTCATGCACTTTTTGGAATTTCAATGGCTTTACCCCGAGCTCATTTTTCAATATTGACCGAATGGAATATTGCGATATGTTCAGCTCCAGAGTTATTTTTCAGCCACTGTGGAGCGGGTTTCGATCAAGTCGCTTCTTTAATTTTCGAATCATTTCTGCTGATGTTGCTGTTTTCTTCTGTCCACCTCCTTGACGTCGCAAGCTAGGAGAGTTATAATTATTCAAAAATTTGACCCTTTGTGGGTGAGGTACCAGAAAGAGAGGACCATATCTCCATAGTCAATCTTGTGTAGTATTAGGTTATTTCAAGTTGCCTCATGATTGTTTATTAAAATCGAAAATTATTGATTTTTGCAAAAATCCTTGAAAAATTTCGTTAAAAATCCACGATATTTATTCTGTCTATGATATTTATTCCGTCTATGAAATTTATTGATCCTTAAAACATGTCCCTAAAAGTTATTGGTCTTTTGATCCTAGGAAATGTCCTTAGAACTTCCAGGAGTCTTAATCTTTAAATATAAAAAAATCCTTAAATATCCACGATTGTTCGTTTCTTGATCCTTGATAAAATGTCGATGATTGGTCTGGTAAGGATTTCATGAAGTTTTCTAAAATTTCTGTGTTTCTCAGGGAGGATAATGTAATGGGCTGGACGTTTGGTATCTCCTTGCGTTTCCTATAATAGGTGTGTTATTGTATGGTCCTTCAAAATTTATGATAATTTGATTTATGAGTTGTGCCACACGTTGGGCGCCAAATGCAAAACGTTTGCTTATGCAGACTCAAATAAAGATTTCAGACTTTTTCTGAAATTTATGCTTTTTTTTTGAAAAACGTTCCTACATCACGTTGAGCGCCATTATCCCAGGGAGGCTAATGTAATGTAATTTTTAGAAAAAAAAAAATCAGAAAAATCCACGATTGATCTATGAAAAATATCCCCTTTTCAAAAAAAACCTTTTATAAAAAATAATTTTTTTCTTGCCCAATGACAACTTTTTCCAGCTATAGACTTTAGATCGTCAAAGAAAAAGACTTCCTGTCTTTATAGGATCTTAACTTCTATATGTTACTCTTTTATTTTATATTTAACTTAGACCTGATTTTTAAACAAAAGGCCATTGTTATCCATTTTCTACATGCCAGTCCACCATCGTCACAGTGTTCACCTTTTACATTCTGAAATCTACCATTCATGTACTTGGGTAAAAAAGTTCTCTCAGAGCGAATGCATTAATACTCTCTTTTGATAGTTTTACCGTTAAAAAACAATTCTCACAGACAGATATCTACACTGCCTTCCTCTCTCCCATACCCCCACAAAGTTGAGACACAACAATTTTTATATCCTTTATTAAAATAAGCAGAATGGCAATAAAAACAAATACATACGATATCATAAATAGTTGTCAGCTTAAATAACTAACTTAGACTTACATACAGACATACATTACAAAAAATTACATATTTTATACTAAAATTAATTTTTTTAAATAAAATACCAATTTTTTAGCGGCAGTTTTTGTTTGTGTTTTTTTTAGGATATTTTCGTAACAAGAATAAGGCAATGGCAGCGACAAATACTTAATGTTGTTATTGTTGTCATTGTGAAAAACAACAACAACTACAATGAATTTACTTAGTCTTACAGAATAAAAAATAAAAACAAAAAAACTTGGGTTACACCAACACTCCAACTCCCGGTGGGGCTTGGATATCATTCTTTCAAACCACACTCCATTCGCTCCGATTTTTTTCATTTTGTTATTTTTTTCGGTTTAAACTCACAGAAACTACCCACATTACAAGCAACTACGACTGTGGACCTGGCACCAGACAGTCAGCCAGCCAACCAACCAACCAACCTCCGATCGTCATTCCATTTCAACTCAGCAGCGAGATACATCTGGTAATGATCGCCCACGACATTTATTCATCCAGCCAGGCCAAGCCTGAAACCCGTGACGATTAAAAATCTGCATGGCACAGCGCGAATCATCCGAAATTTCATCATTTAGGAAATCTACCAAAGAAGACAAAGCAAAACAAAAAAATGTGTTTTCAACTTATTTCAATTCTAAGTAGAGTCCCACCACACAAATGGGTGTGTGTGTGGTAGGGCAGCATTTCATTTCAGTTTTTGTTTTGTTGTTTTTTTTTTTTTTTGGTCTTGTTTGTTGTGATATGTGGCATGCTGGGCATATTTGTTGTCAGCCAGCCAGCCAGCCAATGACTTTTGTGAGTGGGCCGCTTAACAATATTGTTAGCAATCAGGGAATGGAAATTAAGAAAGTTCTTGAGGTAGGAGCAAAAGGAGGAATGTTCCGTTTTTTTTAAATAATTTCAAAAAAATGGAGGAGGTCTTCTCGTATGGGAATGTAATTACATTTGAATTAGTTACCTTCACATTTAATGTTGCAAATGCCACCCTTTCGTCCTTTTCGGCACCAGTTTTTGCTGTTTATCTGAAATACAGAAAATATTTCGTCAATAAAACGTGGAGTTCAGTCATGTCAATAACTACGCACAGTCGTCAATCTTTTTAAACCCTCCATCAAACATAGTATGAAGGGTATATTAAGTTCGTCATTTGTAACTAATCGAAATAACAATTTTAGACATAACTAAGTATAAATATTCTTGATCAGCCTTAAATTCTAAGACGATTTTGCCCTGCCCGTAAGTCCGTCCGTCTATGGAATCTCGCTAGAGTCAAAACGAATAAAGATAGGAAGCTAAAATTTTGCACAGATCAGTCCTTTGGCTGCAGGGATGTCAAGTTCAAAGATGGAAGAAGATATCGGCCCACCATTTCATAAAACCCCCATATAACGGTACCCCCCATATTCGGTATTTTGATGGTTCTAGCCAAATTTTTTAAAGTAAATGTCTGAATATACACAAAAGGAGTTCCTTCTGAGTACTTTAATCCCTGGAAGAGTATTGTCTGTATAGGATTACGATATCGTATATCCCCCATATACATTTTGGTGAGAATTTTCCAGAAAAACGTTATTCGTGATGGAGTTCAAGCGTGATTGTGTAATTTCTTTATATTTGGCAGGAAAACGCCAAGTGGCTATCGTTAGAGAACACCAGCATTTAAATGTTAATAAATCGTTTGTGTCTGTAACATCGCACGTTACCGCGATATTGACAGCGTAGCCCGACGTCAAGGAATTGGACCGAAGAAAACAGCAATATCAGCAGAAATGATTCGAAAAGTAAAGAAGCGACTTGATCGAAACCTGCGTCGCAGTGGCCGAAAAATGGCTCGTGAGCTGAACATATCACAATATTCCATTCGGCAAATATTGAAAAATGAGCTCGGGGTAAAGCCATTGCAATTCCAAAAAGTGCAAAAAATTGCACCGCAACAGAAAGAAAATAGGGTCAAAAGAACTAAAGAGTTGCTTTGCTTGGACGAAAGTGGTGAAATGCCGAATTTGGTTTTCTTCGCTCCGATGAGAAAAATTCACCATTTTGTTCGTTGTCCAGCAAACAATGTGATCGTGTTTACTTGCCAAAGAGGTCAGCTGAAAATGTGCGCCTTCGGTTGGACACCAGAACTCAAGCGCCGGCCATGGTGATGGTGTGGGCCGCCATAACAGCCGATGGTCGCTCTACGCTGGTATTAATCGACCGTGGCGTCAGAATAAATGCCGAATATTATCGCGAAAATATTCTGGAGAGTGTATTAAAGCCTTTTGTCCGCAGACCTCGGACATTCCAACGGCACTCAGCACGCGCCACCCAAGAATGGTTACAAAATGAGGATACTCGCTTCATTTTCAGCGTACAATAGCCTCCGAAATCTCCGGATACCAATGCGTTGGACTATTGTGTCTGGAATATTTTGGAAAGCAAGGTTGGCACCAAAAAAATACCAAAGTGTCGATCACCTAAAACAAATACCACAGAGCAACATTCGGGCAGCGTGTGACGGGTTCATTGGCCATAATTCGTGCCAAAGGTGACCAATTCAAACTAAATTTATTCTAAAATTTGATACTTTTTCCGACATTTTTTGCTTTCATTGAATAAAATTAAAAAAATGTAAAAATTGTCGCTTTTGACTTTGTAGCAGTTTTTTATCTCACCCTGTAGCCCACATACCACGGTCCCACCGATATTTAATATTTTGACGATTTTAGCGACATTATTTACCGAATGAATTGTCTTACAAACGAACAACGCTTGTAAATCATTGATTTTTTTGTTATCAAAATTAGGGTTCTACTGAAAAAGTTTATTGTGCGCTTCTTTAGCAGGTTGGTCATTTGAGACGCAGTCGCGATTTCATGATTTTTTTGAAATTTATGCGTTTTTTTTTGAAAAACTCTCCTAAATCGCGTTGGGCACCATTAGCCCAGGGAAGATAATGTAATGGGCCAGGGCTTCTGGCACCATCTTGCTTTTCCTTTAATATGTGTGTAATCGTGTGGTCCTTCAAAATTTATGAAATTTTTATATAAGGAGTTGTGCCACACGTTGGGCGCTATGTGCAAAACGTTTGCCTATGGAGATTCAAATAAAAATTTCTCTCATTTTTTCTGAATTGTATGTTTTTTTAAGCTTTCCTACATCACATTGAGCGCTATCGGTCGGAAGTTTGGTGTCATTTTGGGTTTCCTGTAATATGTGTGTTATCGTAGGGTCATTAAAATTTATGATAGTTAGATTAAATGATTTGTACAACACGTTGGGCGCCATATGCAATGCATTTGCCTATGGAGATTCAAAAAAAGATTTCATTAATTTTTTTTTTTTTTTTTTTGAAAATTTCTACTACATTACGTTGGGCGCCACTATGACAGGAAGGATAAAATAATGAGCCTTACGTTTCGTTTCATCTTATGTTTCCTGTAATATGTGTATAATCGTATTGTCCTTAAAATTTATGATAGTTTGATATAATGCCATGCGCCACACGTTGGGCGCCATATGCAAAACATTTGCCTATGGAGATTCCAATGAAGATTACAATCATTTTTTTAATTTTATGTGTTTTTAAACGTTCCTACATCACTTTGGGCGCCACCATTCCTATTATATTGTGCCTTATGTTTATCCTCAATATTCTTGGAAGACATGTTTTGCAAAATTATTTCAGATCCTTAAATTCTGCAGACTTCAAATATGACGAACGCAATTCATAAAGATATATTAAAATTCAATCCTTTAAATGTCCTTAGAGCCTTTAGACACAATAACACATCGAATCTAAATTTGTGTTTATTTTGAAATATAAATTTGATGTTATGCTTTTATTTATTTGTATTGATATGAAGGAAAACTGAAAATTTTATGCTCAAAATTTTATTTTTCCCGATTTTTCCTTTGATATTTGTAAAATCTCTTCTAAAGGACCTAACATCTAATGTTCCTTCCCTATGTTCTTTTATATATTTACCTGAAATAGTCCATAACCCACACTTTGATTTGACAATTGCATAACTTTTGAAGTACTACGGCCGCTCTCATTCTCCACCAGGCACACCCCTAACAAAAATATTCGAAATTTTGATATACACATTTAGTGGATATTGAAAATATATATTAATTTCCTCGAGGCCAACATACAATTCGACAAATAACTCCTTGGGAAATCGTGACGCAACAGCTCCTTGGCCAATTGGCAGCGGGTAAACATTTTGCTCGTACACTCCGGCGGCAAGAGAGTAAAATATATCAATGCCCAAAGGGCTGCCGAATTTTTAAAATTAAACATTTTCAAACTCATTTTAACACTCGGAATTATTTTCTCAACAAAACTCTTGATTCGAAAATTAACATTTATTTTTTTAAGTTTTGTAAATAAATTGAAATTTGGTCTTTCAAATTTAAGGATGTGATTTCTTTGAATTCTTTCGGCGACAACGAATTAAAGCAACACGTTACAAATTTCCTCACTAACTAGTTTCGATTTCATTTGAAAATGGTCTTTTAAAGACTCGGTCGGTGGTGGCTTGATGCTGCAAATTGGGGACGACGTGACGTTTTGGCGGATTGCAAATGACAATAACGCACTCTCTGTGTGACATTAGATGGACATTCATCATCCATTTCATTCATTCATTCACTCGTTCGCCATTCATAGTCAAGAATTTGATCTGAATTGTAAAAATCAAATTAAGTGTAAGATTATGTGTGTGATAATTTTAATTCAACTTGGTCGCCCACAACCTATTTACACACCGAGATTTATGTGTGCATTCATCTTCATTTGCTTATAGATGTGGGGGAAATTTTAGCAAAATAGCTATTTATATTTGGAAGTTCCTAAGGATGACACTGCTAACTTTTTTAATTTTACCAATGCTAAACATATTACAGGACGCATAAATGTACGGGAACGGAAATCTAGCTAAAATGTCAAAAAAATATTGCAAAACTGTGAAAACTTTCCTACATTACGTTGGGCGCCATTATCCAAGGGAACATAAATTAATAAACCATACGTTTCCTGTCATCTTATGTTTCCAGTAATATGTGTGCTATCGTATGATCCTTCAAATTTATAATAGTTTGATATCATGAGTTGTGCCACGCGTTGGGCGCCATATGCAAAACGTTTGCCTATGAAGATTCAAATAAAGATTTCATTCATTTTTCTGAATTTTATGTTGGGCGCTTTTATGTCAGGGAGGATTTAGTAATGGGCCGAACGTTTCGTGTCGTATGGTTCTTAAAAATTTATGATAGTTTGATATAATCAGTTGTGACATACGTTGGGCGCCATATGCAAAATATTTGCCCATAGAGAATCAAATAAAGATTTTATGAAATTTTCTGAATTTTAATATTTTTGTTAAACTTTCCTACATTTCGATGAGCGTCATTATCCCAGGGAGGATGAAATTACGGGACAGACGTTTCTTTATATTCTGGAATATGTGTTATATGATATGGTCCTTAATATGTATGATAGTTTGCTTTATGCAAAACATTTGCCTATGGAGATTCAAAAAAAGATTTCATGATTTTTTCTGAAATTTTTGTTTTTCTTTTTTTTATTAATTTTTTTTAAACTATCCTACATCTCGTTGAGCGCCATTATCCAGGATAATGTATGGTTTGTACGTTTTGTTCCATCTTTATTTTACTGTAATATCTGTGTTATCTTATGGTCCTTCATAGTTTGATATAATGAGTTGAGCCACACGGTGGGCGCCAAATGCAAGATATTTTCCGGTGGAGATTTAAATAAAGATTTCATGAATTTTTCTAATGTTTTGTGTTTTTTTTTTTTTTTTTTTTTTTTGAAAAACTCTTTCATCCCGTTTGGTGTTTAAATCCCGAGCGCATAAATTAATAAATTAATGGGCCGGACGTTTCGTGTAATCTATTTTGAAAAACTTGCCTATATTACGTTGGGCGCCACTATGCCAGGAGGCATAAAATAATGGGCAAGTCGTTTCGTGTCCTCTTATGTTTTCTGGAAGTTGTGTGGGTATGACCCGTATGTTTGATATTATGAGTTGTGCCACACGTTGGGCGCCACATGCAAAACATTTGCCTATAAAGATTCCAGAGTATAAAAAGCGGAAAAGCAGAGTTAAAAAGGAAGAATAAATCGTACCTTCTATTTTTCACACAAATTTGCACTGCGCTTCAGGCTAGGCGACAATTCAACAACATTATGATTGTGGCTCTCCGTCAAGCAAAGTGTCGAAATATTCGAGTTTCGACGTGGTAGAAAAAATATCAATGTCTGTACAATTTTTTTTACGGGCAGACATCCAGATCTCCGTCATGTGCAAAATCGACATAAAATTTTACGCTGAGATATACGAGGAATATTTCGAGAAATTGCAAACGAAATGACAATTAAGTAGAACAAATACACTTTTGGCGCCCAATGTGAGACAACATTAAATTTTGGTCTAAACTTTACTCTGGTAATTCTATTCGAGCCGAGTGACGAAATAATTGAGTGAACGATGTGGTGGGAATATTATCAATAACATTTCAAAGCTTTATCTTTGATATTGCGAGATATATAGTGTAATTTCAACAAACGGACCGACAGCGGACATTGGAAAATCGACATAGAACTTTAGACTATGAAATTCGACTAATATTTCGAGGTATTGCAAACCGAATGATAAAATAAATTTACCCACAATATTATGGTCGTGGGTAGAAAAATACACTTTTGGCGCCCAACGTGGGGGCAACATCCAAGATTAGTGCAAACTTTAATTAAAAAGCAATAGAAATTCGATAGAAGACTGAATTATATGTCTATAAAACTCAAATCGAGTTTTGGCGCCCAACGTTGGGCAACATCTTAGTTTGGTTTAAACTTGAATTAAAAAACAATAGAAATTCCGTAGAAGACGGAATTATATTTCTACAAAACTCAGATCGAGTTTGAATATAGATTGTGTCTCTCAATTGTTCTAATCATTCTCCCGCAAAGGTTCAGGACCGTTCACTTCACTGAGATTTCAAACTATTAAATTATGGCTGGTTTGGTTGGAAAATCTGGCCAGGACCTTCAAAACACCCTTAAAAATGTTGTAGCTTGAATTGCATTAGACGAAACACCACATTACAATTTGATTGGAATTTTAAAAATATAGTATTGAAATCGGAAGGTACTGTCCTATGATGACCCATTTGGCCCAAAATATGTCCAAGCAGACAAGCGAAGGACAAAATCAACCAATTCTTGTTTTTCTGTTTTTTTTTAGTATTTTAAAATGTTGCTATTTGTTTCACCTCGACTGTATCGAAAACTAAAAATGTATATCTAGGAAAATTTTATCATCACTTGTTTGTTTTTTTTTTTTCTTAGCAAAAATGGGTTATGATGTCTTCTAAGCTAACATTGGTTTTGGCAAATTGGGTCATTACATGCCATTGCCGGACAAATAGTCTAATGGAATTCAATATGTCAAAGTGTCAGCAGCATAGCTTGAAGTCCAGAGTGATTTTTTTCTTTCTTGAAAATATAAAAATAAATGGCATCACTTTTGCTTTCTATTAACCCCTCCCCCTCAGCAGTTCCCTCATCGCTTTTCTAAAATAAATTGAAGTAAATTTTCCATCGCCTGACAGTTTGTTGTCACTATTGTTTACATGGCTTGAGAGTAAAACTGACCATAGACAATGGGCAATGCATTTCGCATTGCATCGACAACAACAACAACAACAAATGTGGACGACAACAACAACCACTCAATGCATCAAGGTTGATTTCCTCCAAGTAATTGTTTTGTTTTTCTTTTTTTGTTTCTCTTTCAAGATACCGCATTCGTCTCTTGCTGTCTGTCACGGCTACGTTCCAGAACACAAAATGTGTCAATTTGTTATGGCTCCTTTGGTGTTGGTTGCCAGCAGTTTCCTGGCCATTGTTCTGGGTCAGACACTGGATGCATCAGTCTTGGTGAGAAGTGAAACGAGTAATCTCACATATCCTGCCACAACTCCAACAACCTCAGCCAAAGTGGTGAGTCCCAAGGCCTTTTCAGCTGGATTTGATATTGTCTCCTCCTCCACCGCTGTTTATGGGGTGTCATCTCCCTCACCATTGCCCACGAATCGCAAAAATGCCAAATTCTTTAAAAAGCCTTCATCCACGAAGAGAAGGAAAGCCGTTGATGTTTCATCCATACCCATTGGAGATGATACCACGGAGTGGCGTTGCCCTAATGTGACAGCATCACGCAGCCTGGAATGTGGCTGTGATTTGCCGCACACTTTGAGATGTAATGGTGACCTACATGGATTAACGGTAAGTTTAGAATTCTGTCTAAAAATGAATTTAAATATTTAAAAATATATTCTCAGGTTTTATCGGACAATTTACGCTCCTCACCCTATTCGGTGGCCCTGCTGGATGTTTCCTTGCGAAATGTCACCTTCTTGAGTGATGCCCGCATCTTTGACCATGTTTCGCTGCGTTGCCTCATCATATCATCTGGTGAAATAAAACGAGTACATAAATCCGCCTTTTTGGGTATTGAAGGTCCCCTGCTGGCCCTTGGCTTGCCGGGAAATGCTCTACTGGCAGTACCCTGGAGTTCTTTGTCAACTTTAGTGGATTTAGAACGTTTGGATTTATCAAATAATAAAATTAAAGCATTAGGCACCTCGGATTTGGCTGCCTTGGTTAATTTGGAATATTTGGACATGAGCAACAATCAGTTGTCGTCAATTTCACAGAGGACATTTGCCAATCTGCGCAGGCTGGAAGTCTTGAAATTGGGTGGCAATCGTTTGGGTGACTATGCCTCGAGTCTAAAAGCCCTCATGCAGTGTCACAATTTGAGGTGAGTATTGTGGATTTTATGAACTGTTTTATATTAATGACCGTAAAATAATATAACAGAAGATTCCGGGGTTCCGAGGCATATTTAGTCGAGAGTAAATACTTATTTATTTTTTTAATTATTTTCAATTTGTACAGTAACCCAGCCCAGCAACAACTACAATTCCGTTTTTTTTTTTTTCAAAAAGGTCCCTTTATACCCTCCATCATACATAGTATGGAAGGTACATTAAGTTCGTCAATCCGTTTGTAACTTATCGAAATAATAAATTTAGACCAACAAAATATATTTTTTCTTGATCAGCGTAAAATTAGACTATTTAGCCATGCCCGTCCGTCCGTCTGTAGTAATCACGCTAGAGTCAAAACGAATTGAGATAGGAATCTAAAATTTTGTTCAGATCAGTCTTTTGTCTGCAGGCTGATCAAGTTCGAAGATGGCTATATCAGTCCACGATATTGTATAACCCTCATATAATGGTAACCTCTGAAATTTGGTATTTTGATGGTTTTAGCCATATTTTCAATTAAATTGTCTAAAATTCCATACAAGGACTTCTTTGTGAATATTTTAACCCCTGGAAGATAAAAGTCTACATAGGTCTATATTTAAGTATAGCAACCATATAAAGGTACCCCCAGATATTCAGTATTTTTATGATTTTAGCGACATTATTAACCGGAATTGTTTCAAATTTCGTATTTGAAGTTCGCAATGAGGGCTTCAACCTATGTCTGAAAATTGTATATGAGGGTAAAAGTCTTCGTATAGCCCCCATGTAACTATACCTCCCGATATTCAATATTTTCATGTTTTTCTCGAAATTATTCACCGGAATTGTTCGGAATCTTAGAGCCAATGACGAAAAATTGTCTATGAGGGTTCATGTCTTCGCATAGCCACCATATAACGATATCTCCCAAATATTCGGTATTTTCATGATTTTAGCGACATTATTAACCGGAATTGTTTCAAATTTCACATTTGAAGTTCGGAATCGGTACTAAAGCCTATGGCGGAAAAATGTTTATGAGGGCTCAAGTCTTCGATAGCTCCCGATATTCGGCATTTTGATGGTTTTCGCGACATTTTTAACCGCAATTGTTTCGAATTTCGTATTTGAAGTTCGGAATCGGTACTACAGCCTATGACAAAAATATGCAGGACCACATATTCGTATAAGCAGCATATATAGATTTTCATTTGAGTAAAGGATATGAAAAGTTCGCCCCGGCCGAATTTAGCTGTTTTTTTTACTAGAAATATTGAGCCTCCATTCTATTTTTTTTGGACATAGACCAAAGAACCAAAATTCCCGACAAAGCTTCTACTAAAATTGAATTCGATAGTTTTAGGTTTCCCATAGCCTTTGCTAGGCTTATTTGGAGGGCTCACTGCTATACCGAACCAAGTCATGAAAAATAAAAAATGCCGAAATTAGTGCCAATGTCCCCGTATATGGAAACTCTGTTTACTCTGTAAACCACAATGTCAAAAAGTGTTTCTTTCCAAAGATAACGGTAAAAAACCTAAGTCAACGACTGTCATTTTCGACTTTTTTCAAATCAAAAATGAACCAAGTCAGCGTGTTTCACTTTGAATCAGTACTATTAGTGTTTCAGTTTACAGCAATATTAAAAAAAACATCAGTGTTTTCTATAAATGGATAGTAATTATAGCAGTACTAGTGATTTTTCCTGTTATGAAAATGAGGAATATTTGCCAGCCCCAAAAATGATGAAGACGGAAATAACGAATTTTTTATGTGTAAATATTTGTTGAAACCATGGTAAAATTAAGAAGGTAAAGTAATTTCAAATAAGCATATCCATCTCTGCATTTTGTGTAATTTACTCTGTCAAATTCCCTGCATAGATAGCAGGTTCTTATCTCTGATTTGTATGTACAATGGATTTATAAGTATACATTTTGACAACGAGATGTTGTCAAATGCATAACTTTGAAAAAAAAAAACAAGTAAAAAAGCTGTAAGTTCGGGCCGAACTTTGAATACCCTCCACCATTTGGTACAAATTTGGCAATTATCAAAAAATTAAAATCCATTAAAAATTCAGTTAAAATCTTAAAAATACCGAATGTAGCCGCATATTAGGGTCTATACGAAGACGTGGACCTGCACATAATATTCAATATGAACTTCAAATACTAAATTTGAAGTAGTTCCGATAAGTAACATCACTAAAAACACCGAATATCGAAGGTACCGTTATATGGAGGCTATACGAGGACGTGACCCCGTTTGAATACCAAAAGTCCTGCAGACATAATACACATTTGAGTAAATTTTTATCAACTTACTCCATTTCGTTCGGAAGCTAGAGTGATTTCCACAGACGGACAGACGGATTGATATTGTTAAATCGACATAGAATGTTATACTGATTAAGAATATTTCGAGGTGATACAAACAGAATGACAAACTTACTCTCCATACTTTAGTGGAGGGTATAAACATGTAAACATATAATTGCATGACTTTACATTCTTATTTCTACCATAGTATAAACATTAAATTTTAACATTAATTTATTTTTTTTAAAAAAATTAATTTTGGTTAATTCTGTTTTTTATCGGGCTTTTTTGGTCGGATTATTTTAAAATTAAAATAAGATTTTATTTCATTTTTTGCTTTTTTCCAACATTTTCAAGAGCTTATTTATTTGAAATTCTGGTAACAAAATGAAGAAAAAATTATATTATTTTTATTTTCCTAAAAATCACAATGGTTCTCAATTACAACAGAAGCACTCGCAGCTGCCAGCCGCTAAACCAAGACATGACTTAAAATAAAACTCCGAAACTAGTGGGAAAATTATCGCTAAAATCAACTATATTTAGTCATATAACGAACATTTTATTTTATTTTTTTGACTTGGTTCGCTTTAGCTGTGAAACCTTGAAATTTTATTTAGAGCAATAATGAACCAAAGTAGATTTTTTTGTTTTTGAAGATTTTTTTAGTAATATATTTAAATAATTTTTATTTTAAATTGATATCATTAGTTAATTTTGAATATAGACTTTTATATTTTCTTTTGGTAGACTAAAATATTCCTTCCAGAAATTAATAGCAGTGCATTTACTTTACCTCTAAATATCTTCGAATTATGTTTTTATGACTTAGTTCGGTATAGCTGTGAGCCCTTCATTTATAAGAGTAGAAAGATAAAGCTAGAAGCACATTAATCGTTGCATACTTTTAGGCTAGCATGAAATATAAAACCGAACAAAAATCTGTGATGGCAAAAGTCGAAGAAAAATTATTGACAAGCAAAGGGCGACCTCGACCAAAAGTAAATTAATTAAAAGATATTCGATTCTACCAAATTTAAATCCATTTCGAAGATAGAAAATATAAGAACGTCCCAAAAAAGGGTCGTTTGTACCTCAACAAAATTGACCCACTTCTGTGTCTCTGATTTCCTTCAAACTTCGAAAATCTCAATATTGATGTCAAAATTAAGTCGAATACGAGGATCCCTCAAACCTTTGCTCCTCTTAATATTTCTATGCCAGGACATATCAAATCCCCCAAAAATTGTAGAAAACCAAAATTATGAATTGAAATTTCCCCTTTAAGTTTGAACGGACCTCACCAATGGTTTACCCTCAGTTTTTCATCACTTCTAACACGTAAAAATTAATAATCTGATCCAGAACTGTAAGAATGTAAGACTTTTTACTACTATAACTGATTTTCCCTCTATGATATCGGAAAAAAATTGCAAAACTAGTAGATTTTTGCAGGCTCTGGAACATTCCAGAGGTAGTGGCCTGATATACATCATATTTCAAGTTCAAATTTCAAAAAAAAAAAAAGATTTGGTTTTCTCAATTCTTTTCATATCTTCAAAAGGTGTTGAGAGATTATTAAAGATTTTCTGATATTGACAAGTCCTTTCTGGTCCTTCATAGAATCACTTTCTAAGTCGATTTATGCATGTCAGTTCGTCTGTCCGTCAATGTATTTTTGTGAACAAAATGCAGGTCGCATTTATCATCCGCTTGAGATGAAATTTTCCAAACAACATTTGTTTGGCTAAAGAATGAACCCTGTTGAAATAAGTGAGAATCGGTTAACATTTAGATATAGACCCCATCTATTGTGCACTAAATATCCAATATCAGTCCAAATGACCTGTATTTTGGCATATTCCACCGAATTTAGTGTAGAAGGAAGTACATCAAATTCGGTGTAAATCGGTTTAGATATAGCTTTAGCTCCCATATATATGTTTCATCCGATTTAGGGTATTAAGTCCCTTAACCCGCCAGAATGATATTAGTTACCAGATTTGTATAGATTTTGAGTATTTGGGTTGAAGATGGTTTTATCAAACCTTCTATAATCCTTCTGAGACATTGACATTAAACTTGAGTGCTTAATCAGTGCTCATCATGATGTAGAATTATTTTAGTTCCCCTTTTTATTCGCTTTATTTTCTTTTTCTTTGCAGAGATCTGGATCTAAGTGCTAATAACCTTAGCGGCAATCTCTCAGCCAGCTCTATACCGGTCCTCAAAAACCTAGCCAGTTTGAATTTGAATCGCAATCTCATCAAGAGTATACAAAACAAAGCCCTCATGAATTTCTCACGATTGACAACCCTGTCGCTGCAGCACAATCAAATCGATGTTCTGCAAGATCATGCCTTCTATGGGTTGGGTTCGTTGGAAACTTTGGACTTGAGTTACAATGGCATTGTGGCCATATCCAGTGCATCGCTACAGCATTTGACACGACTCAAGACATTGGATTTGACACATAATTTTTTGCGAGCCCTAACCTCGGATCTTATTAAACCTCTGCCATCCCTGGTTGAGCTACGGCTATCCGGCAATGATATCTCAATTGTGGCCAAACATGCGCTGGATGGTGCACGAGAATTGAAAACTTTGGTAATGGAAGAAAATCCTTTGTCGTGTGATTGCACCATACGGGAATTTGCCGAATGGTTACAGGCGGCTAAACTGGTTTCTCAGGATTTGCTGAAAATCACTTGTGTTACACCACCCAAACTGGAGGGAGCCCCATTGATTCAGGTGCCCATGGAAATGTTGAGTTGTGGTGATATGGAAAATCTTGAAGAGGATAATGCCAATATCATTGAACAATTGGAGGCAATGGCCAAACAGAATCATTCCACAAATCATCACATCAAGGATTTGTCCGAAGAGGTATGTAGACATTTTTAAATATTTTGTTGTAAGAAAATCAAATAGTTTTTCTGTTTTTTGTTACAGATCATCCTCCATGAATTGCATTTCTCCGCTGATTATGGCCTGATTTTGACATGGATAATCAATTTGAGTAAAAATGATTACATGTGCGATGCAATATTTGTCTATAAGGAAGAAAATATCAATGAGATTTTAATCGATAATTCACCGGTGAGTTTGAAGGGGGTATTTGAAATTAACAGGGTCGGAAATTTATTTCTTTTTCTCATTTTAGATCCACTGTGAAAGTAAAATGATTAATGGCCAAAATACGGTTAGCGTTATTGTCCCAGATAGCTCATCATTGGATGTGGGAGAGAGGTAAGTGAAGTAATATAAAAAAAAATTATAACAAAGTAGTCAACTAGTGGGTGATTTTTTAAGAGTTAAAAAAAATTAAAAAAAAAAACACCTACAATTCTGAAATATGTATGAAATCTTTATTCGAATTGCAAGTACGATCCATATTATTTTATATTTGAAGATTATTTCATGCAAGTTTTGATGGCGATCATCTCAAATGGTCCATCCTCTTAGTCCAATTTTGGCATACTTTTTTCCGCCTTTTTGCTTTGGTTTCTCAGGAATAAATGATTCAATGTTGTCTTCCAATACGTCAACTTAAGCGGGCTCGTCTGTATAGAAAGGATAGCCCCACAAAAAATAGACTAAATCCGTTAAATCGCAAGATCTAGGCGGGTAATTGACTGGTCCCGAACATGAATTATATGGTCTGTTTCAGAACTGTTGGAATATAAAAGTTTTTACTACCATAACCGATTTTTCCTGTATGATATCGAAAAAATGCAAAAATAGAAATTTATGCAGGTTCTGGAACAGAGCAAACATGTTCATCGAATTCGCCTCTCAATAAGATCACAGTATCGAGTGCTGGGAGGCAAGTCCTGCGATTGAAGTTTTTGCATTTTGGACAAGAAATGATATCATCTCACGATTGCGCTCATTATTTATTACAAATTATTCTAAATCGCTTTGCTTATTTACGTACCCAAAAGAGACAATTCTACTCGTTGAGTCAAAAATGATATTTATGGCGAACACAATTTTTCGAAGTGGATTTTCGGCTTTCTTTCAATCAAAATGCTGGGTTGCTACAGCTGAATTTTAAAAGGCATCACATCCTTCCGCAAAAGTTCCCATGTTTTTGAGTAACAGAGGCCCAATTGTTGTTATTGTTGTTGTAGCAGCTCATACTGCTGTGTTCGTTCTGACTTATCTCAATCGGATTTTATTTCTATGTCCAGTCTCAAAAAGAATGCAATCTATGCGGGTTGGGTCTACAACGACACTGGAGTTAGGTGAGTAGGTTTGTACCTCTCTCTATAGATCATGAAGGTCTTTCTTACGTGCTTGGGCGGAGCTTGCCTATCCCCATATGGTTTTTCGGATGGATGTCTGTCACCCCAAGCAGGTATTGCATTGACACAATTTTATTATGCTGTCGCACCGGTAAGACCTTCGCCTCCTCATGTAGTTGGTCGACAGGAGTCATAAGGAGGTACCCTGTTGCATTTCTAAGGGCGGCATTCTGGCAGGACTGAATATTTTTCCACTGCGTAGCACTAACATTGGCGGACCACACCGGAGCCGCATAGTTTACCACAGACCGGCGTATCGCGTTGTAAGAGGTCATCAAGGTATCCTTATCAGCTGCCGACCAGAGACTTGAGAACCTTTTCCTCGCTGCTAATCTTGTCGCAGATACCTGTATGTGCGGACGATTTGAAAAGGCAGTACTTTTCGTTCAATTGTAATAAAAATTTTCAAAGCCACCTCCATATTTCAATTCCACATGGCAACAGAAACATTGATATCAAATTTGAGGATTCCAGCCCTATCCCTTGAGCCAATACCAAATTCAGTACCATTTAGTACTTTTTGTACAAATATAAGACGCATTTCTAAACCCCCAACAAATCTGTAACACTCTATCCCTTCACCCATTACCAAATTTAGTATCATTACCAAATATAGTATATATTTCCGAAAGCACCTCTTAGGTGTCTAGGCCACACATGAATAGCGACCCGAAATCATATTTCAGATTTCAATCCATATCTGTTCTATTTAGTAATTTTTGGGCACTTGTAGTTCATATTTCAAAAACCCCCTCTTTATCACAAACCTCCCAGCAACAGGAACTCCAATAACAACATTTCAAATTATCAGTTTCTTGCATTCACCTAAAACAGAACCAACCATATTTTCAAAAATCGATTGTTATACCAAATTTCAAAATGCTAGCACTCTTCGATCACATAATTCCAAATGGTAACAAATGTAGTGCATTTTAGTACTTTTGTTAGGAATTTGAGATTAAAAGAGGTACTTTTTCAGAAATTTCAATTATATAAAAATTCAAATACATACATATAAAAATTGAAATAAGAAATCGAAATTAAAAAGCTATTCTCATCTTTTTTTCGAAAAAAAAACTAATCTGTTTTCCCTCTCAATTTTTCATTACAGCTATCGCTTCTGTTTGGTGATGGTGCAGGAACATAACGAACAATCCGATCTCACGGTGGGTTGTTCAAACATTACCCAATTGCAAGTGAGTAACAGTGGGATGTTGCCACAAAATCGCCAATTTGTAGCACGGCGACCCTATGCCGATCTCTCGAAATTCGATCGATCAGCAACACCAGATTTGGTTTTGGAACAAAGTAGCACCAATGGCCTAAATGTTGATTACAGTATTAATTCACGAAAATTCAATACCCTGACTTCCAGTCAACAGCGTACCGGGGAGGGGGGACTGGATGATGGTCCCCATACGACACATGCCGAAAATCCTTATGAATTTCTTAATTCTTTGAATAAAAGTTTCCTACCCGGTTTGGGTTTGGGAATTTTGGTAACATCGATTATGGTCTTGATATGGGCTGCATCACGGCTACGACAAAATGTTAATCACAATAATAACAATAACAACAACATCATGCATGGTGATAGGCGCTCAAGTTCACCCACGGCCACAACATGTTATGCGGCCTCAGAACATTTGGCTCGTCTGGCGGATACGGAAAATGGTGGAACTAGATATTTAAAGCTCCAGGCCACCACTAGTCTATAAAGAAATAGATGTGAAAAATTTTCGGCAGTTACTTGTGGAAAGGCCCCATTAACATGGGCCTTTGTCCTTTATGTGATAGTACTTTCATTGATTTGAGGTACCCCTTAACAATTAATACTAAAACCAGATACTTAAATTATGTTTAGTTTTAAAATTAACAAATATTATTATTATTAATTTTTTGAAATTCAAATTATTTAACAAAGATTTTAACATTAGGTCTTAAGCCAAATAATTGTTGTAATTTGTATTATTTTAATAATAGTTGAAAGAAATCTACTGAATACTTTTAGGAATGTAGTATATAAGATTGTTTTTTTTTTTAATTTTTGTTTTTTGTATAATTCAAAATCACCTTAAATCGGTCCTGTGCCATATGCTAAGAAATATTTTGTAATTTATTTGTTTAGTGATTTAATAATTTTTTGTAATTTTTTTAAATAGTAACACACATTTTTTCTACACTGACACACACACTAATCAATTAAACCGATAACTCATTAACACACTTACACCAACTCACTCACACACTTATTCACTTTTTAGTTATGAAAATAAATATCAACATTGATGACTTAAACAATAAATTGATAACGTAAAGAAAATTTCTTCACAGGGTTCCAAGGGGCTAATGGAAAACAATGAGGAAATAAGAGACATTATGTAAAAAATATATAGAGATTTTCAGAATCCATGGATGTAAAAAAAAATATAAAAAAGTTATATGTTTGTGTATGAAAAAATTGATTCAGAACCAAGTTCTCAAAGAGTTATAAAATGATCCACAGAGAGAAAGAATTGAAAGAATTTTTAGAGTTGTCATGAACTAGTTTATATTGAAAATAAATAAAAAATACAGGGTGAGATAAAAGGAACTGCAACAAAGTCAACAAAAGGGTATATTAACTTTGTCATTCCGTTTGTAACTCCTCGAAATACTTATGTCAGACCCAACAAAGTATATATTACTATATATACATACATATATATATATATATATATATATATATATATATATATATATATATATATATATATATATATATATATATATATATATATATATATATATATATATATATATATATATATATATATATATATATATTCTTGAATAGCGTAAAATTCTAAGTCGATTTAGCAAATGTCCACCTGTCTGTCTGTCCGTCTGTCTCTTGTAATCACGGTATATTCGATATTTTGATGATTTTAGTGACATTATTAACCGGAATTGTTTCAAATTTGTGTATTTGAAGCTCGTAGTGGATATTACAGCCTATGGCAGAAAATTGTCTGTGCAGGTCCACGTTTTGGTGTTGCCCTCATATAACGGCAGCTCCCGATATTCGGTATTTTGATGATTTTAGCTACATTATTTAACGGAATTGTTTCAAATTACGTATTTAGAGTTCGTAATGGGAACTACAGTCAGTGACAAAAAATTGTATATGGAGGTCCAGGTCTTCGTATAGGCCCCATACATCAGTACCTCCCAATATTCGGTATTTTGACGATTTGATTTACAATACCCAACGATGAGATGTCGTATTTGAAGTTCGTAATGGATGCTACAGCCTGTGACAGAAAATTGTCTATGCTGGTCCAGGTCTTCGCATAGCTCCGACATAACAGTACCTCCCTATATACCATGTTTTGATGATTTTAGCTACATTATTCACCGTTTATTTCAAGTTTCGAATTTAAATATTATTAAATAAATGCCTATGTAAATCCACTTCGTATAGACCCCAATATAAAGGCTAAATTCGGTATTTTTAAATTTTTAAAAGAATTTTTTAAGGATTTTTTTTTTTTTTGAAAATTGCCAAATTTGTTCCAAATGGTAGAGGGTATTCAAAGTTTGGCCCGGTCGAACTTTCTGCTTGTTTATTTTTTTAATTTCTTAAATGAAAGCAAAACATGTCAGAAATAGCATCAAATTTTAGAAAAAGTTTAGATTTCTTCGAATTGGTCACCTTTGACACGAATTACGAACTTCAAACGGCCGTCACACGCTGCCCAAATTTCGCTCTGCGGTATTTTGGCTCATTTCCGGCGAAGCGCTTGCTTGAGGTGATCGATACTTTGGTATTTTTTAGTGTCAGCCTTGCTATCCAAAATAGTACGAAAAACACAAAAGATCTATTCACATTTAAATGCTGGAGTGCTCCAACGATAGCCTTAAATTTAAAAACGATAGTGGCATGTAGTTTTTTCACTTGGCCCGAGAGTTATCAGTCCTGGATGGCAAATTTGAATCATGTGTTTCAATAGATGGCGTTATAAACATGTATGTGCCAGTGTTGTCACATTTCAACGTTGAAGACAAAAATAAACCATTAATTCGTTTGCGCCTCAAAGCATGCTTCAAATTTTAAAAATTTACAGCAACATGAATTTATTGAACACACTGACAACACTGGCAATGGCATGATTATAACGCCATCTATTGAAACACATGATTCAAATGAGCCAGCCAAGACTGAAAAGTCTCGGGCCAGATAAAAAAACGACATGCCACTCTCAGTTTTAAATTTTATTAAGAAAACGGAAAATACAGATTTTTTTTAATAATATATTATTGTTTATTATTTTATAAAATATTTGTTTGATGTTTTGAAAAATAATATAGATGCAGGGTGAGATAAAAAAAAAAACTGCAACAAAGTCAAACGCCATAATTTTTACATTTTTTTTTTAATTTTATTGAATGAAAGAAAAAAATGTCGGAAATAGCATCAAATGGCTTTACCCCGAGCTCATTTTTAAATATTTGCCGAATGGAATTTTGTGATATGTTCAGCTCACGAGCCTCTTTACTTTTCGAACCATATCTGCTGATGTTGCTGTTTTCTTCTGTCTGTCTTTCGGACGAGTGGCTTAGAAATGACAGCAGTCTGAAGTTAGTTGCAGTTTTTTCATCTCACCCTGTAAAGACTTTCAGCACCCATGGATGAAAAATAGACTTAGAACCAAGTTCGCAAAGAGAAGTTCCTTAGAAGAAAGAATTGGAAGAATTTTTAGAGTTGTCATAATACCCAATTTTGTGTGGAACTCACGTCAATTTTTTAGTTTAATCTGAGAGTACAATTTTATTCAAATATTCTCATATATAATTTTAAAGTTTAAAAAGTTTATGTTTTTAAGAAAAATATTTTCCGTGTTGTAGTTTTATTAAAAAATATAAATCATCTACATTGAAACTTTTTTATATATACAAAATGTTATTATTAATATTAGAAAAACGAACCCAAATTATTTACTTCTACATACATACAAACATTATTTGAGATTTCTTGTCGCTTCCCTTGCCAAAAAGTGTATCCTCTTTAGTTTGATGTTGGGAATTACAATTCCGTTTTCATTAAATTTTCACGTCCAAGGCTAGGTTGAATCACAGTTAAATTTTGTTGTCATTTTCGTTGTTGCTGTTAGTTTTTGATATTCCCTTTGTATTCTCATTAAATATTTGCCTCGCTACTTTTGCTATGAACTTTGGGATAAACATTCGGTTGACGCATGACCTCATCGTAGGAGGGTGGTGGTGCTACTGGAACCAAAACAAAAACAAACATTTATTCATAAAAATTCATAATCAGAAAGTTTCATTTTCTCTTTACAAAATGTCCTCAAGCTGTGACATTAATTCGAAACTCACCATTAATCACATAATCCTCATCGTGGGTATAGGCGGGATTAATTATGGCATCGGTTGGATAGGTGGTCACAATATTTCGCTCATCCACCGCTGACAGAGGTATACGCTGTGAATGCCTTCTCAGACTATTGCTACGCTGATGATAAGATTCCATTAACTGATCCTCCTGCTCCAAATCATCCCGTTGCAATTGTATGACATGAACCGAGGGATTGCGATGATCTGAAATTAATTATCAAATGTGCAAATTATCCAGATTGGTTATAAATTCTCTACATCGAGAAAAAAAATTCCAAATGGGGAAAAGTGATGGATAAGTTAACCACGGTGGTGGATAAATTATCTAAAGTGGTGAATTTGAATTTATCCGCAATTTTGGATAAATTATCCACAGTGGTGGGTAAATGACCCATTGTGGTGGTTAGATTATTCCAAGTGGTGGATAAATTATTTACAGTAGTGGAAAAATTATCCACAGTGGTGGAAATATTTCCTATAGTAGTGGATAAATTATCCGCAGTGGTGGATATATTATCCATAGTGGTGGATAAATTAATCACAGTGGTGGATAAATTATCTACAGTGGTGGATAAATTATTCACAGTGGCGGATAAAATATCCACAATGTTGGAAAAATTATCCACAGTGTTGGATAAATTATCCACAGTGGTGTATAAATTATTATCAATTATAATATAAATTTTCCACTGTGGTGGATAAATTATCAAGCGGTGGATAAATTATCTACAGTGATAGATAAAATATCCACAATGTTGGATAAATTATCCGCAGTGGTGGATAAATTATCCACTGTGGTGGATAAATTATCTACCGTGATAGATAAATTATCCACTGTGGTGGATAAATTATCTACCGTGATAGATAAATTATCCACTGTGGTGGATAAATTATCCACAGTGGTGGATATTATCCACTGTGGTGGAAAATTATCCACTGTTGTGGATAAACTATCAACTGTGGTGGATAAATTATCCACAGTGGTGGATATTATCCACTGTGGTGGAAAATTATCCACTGTTGTGGATAAACTATCAACTGTGGTGGACAAATTATCCACAGTGGTGGATAAAATATCCTCAGTGATGGATAAATTATCCACAGTCGTAAAAAATTTTATCAACAGTGGTGGATAAATTATCCACAGTGGTGAAAAATTTTATTAACAGTGGTGTATAAATTATCCATAGTGGTGAAAAAATTATCCATAGTGGTGGATAAATTATCCACAGTGGTGAATAAATTACACATATTGGTGGATAAATTATCCACGGTGGTGGGTAAATTATCCACAGTGGTGGATAAAGTATCCACATTGGTCGATAAATTATACACAGTGGTGGATATTTTACCCATAGTGGTGGATAAATTATCCACAGTGGCGGATAAGTTATCCACAGTGGTGGATAAATTATCCAAAGTGGTGGATAAATTATCCAAAGTGGTGGATAAATTACACATATTGGCGGATAAATTATCCACAGTGGTGGATAAATTATCCAAACTCCTGGATAAATTATCCAGAGTGGTGGATAAATTATCCACAGTGGTGGATATTATCCACTGTGGTGGAAAATTATCCACTGTTGTGGATAAACTATCAACTGTGGTGGACAAATTATCCACAGTGGTGGATAAATTATCCACAGTGGTGGATGAATTATCCACAGTGGTGGATAAATTATCCACAGTGGTGGATGAATTATCCACAGTGGTGGATAAATTATCCACAGTGGTGGATAAATTATCATCTGTGGTGGATAAATTATCGACTGTGGTGGATAAATTATCCACAGTGGTTGATAAAATATCCACAGTGGTGGATAAACTATCAACTGTGGTGGACAAATTATCCACTGTGGTGGATAAATTATTTAAAGTGGTGGGTAAATTATCTACAGTGGTGGATAAGTTATCCACAGTGGTTGATAAATTATCCACAGTGGTGAATAAATTAGCCACAGTGGTGGATAAATTATCCACAGTGGTGGATAAAATATCCTCAGTGATGGATAAATTATCCACAGTCGTAAAAAAATTTATCAACAGTGGTGGATAAATTATCCACAGTGGTGAAAAATTTTATTAACAGTGGTGTATAAATTATCCATAGTGGTGAAAAAATTATCCATAGTGGTGGATAAATTATCCACTGTGGTCGAAAAGTTATCCACGGTGATAAATTATCCTCAGCGTATAAATTGTCCATAGTGGTGGATAATTTATCAATGGTGGAGAATAAATTAATCATTGTGGTGGATAAAACATCCCCAGTATTATTATCATTGTTGTAATTGCACCAGACGGACAGTCCGACCAGCGGACAAAGCTACATCGATATAGAATTTTACTCTGATTGTGAATATATATACTTTATGGGCACTCCGACGAATATTTCAAGGTATTGAAAATTGAGTGACAAATTTAATATACCCTTCGTTGTGTTGTAGGGAGAATAATAAGTCTTTTTTTACGACATTGGTATTTAAATATTCCACATTATCATAAATTATCCCCCTACTTCAAAATATTACACATAAAATATCGGATTTTATTTTTCTATATTAAATCGCATTTTTCTCTGGAGAAAAGTGCGTTATTTAAAATGTAAATTGCAAAAAAAAAAAAACAAAAAAAAAATGGAAGCAATTCAAAGTAAACTGGGTTAAATGCCACCGTAGCAATAATCACAATAATGATCGGGCCACTCGGCATGTCATTCGATACACAGGTCATTAATTATTCATATTGTCGGCGGACGATAGTAACAGCGGTGGGGACATACCAATGGTGGCGTCTGTGTAGTTGTCGCTTAATCCAATGTGGGGCGTTATAGATTTTTTGCACTTTAGAAACAGGACAATCAATATCCAACCCAGTATCAGGACCAAATACACAAATCCCAGCATACTCATGTAGATGGCTGTTGGTCGATGATGGTGGGGGGGGTTCTTCTTCTGAATTCTTGCAGAAGAAGATTTGATATCTAGCAGGTGTTGGAAATCAAAGGACACCTGTCCTGTCGTTTTCCCTTAAAATATAACACTTTACAACAATTTAACTGTTGATATGTTTTTAAATATTTAAAAAAAATATTTTTCTTTTTCCAAATATGAACAAAAAATCCACCGCGTGCCGTTCTCTGTTGTTTTAATTTGCCACTTTTAAATTAACAAATATGAAAATCGATAAAATGACATTTTGTTTCAAATGTAACGAACACACGCAGCGTTAGTACGAGTTCAGGACATGTTGGCGTTAAAACTAATACTGCCGTGGCCACGATTGTTGGCCAACAGACTTGACCAGTCAGCCAGTTCAGTGCTAGGACTAGCTAACAAACAAACTAACTATTAGCCAAAGGATACAGTCATTATGGCCGCTTAATCGCTGTGGTTAGAGTTGTTTCTGTTTCTAGTCGCAACAACAACAACTACAAAATACCCATACTCTTGAATTCTTCAAGGGGTGATTTACCTTTGGGGAGCATAGCAGCCGATACACACATTCATTGACACACACACCCTCCCCCCAACTCCCACATGAACTTTAAAAGCCTGAACCAAATATTCATACGTCATAATGTCCACTTTCATGTGTAGCTGTGTGTGTGTGTGTGTGTGTGTGTGTTTGTCCTCATACTTTCCTCCATATATCGTTCGTTGTGTGTAACACTATTTTTGTACAAGTATACAAGCCTAGGTTTCCTTGGTTTCCTTTCGTTACGGCGACAGCAAAAAAAAAGTGTCTACCATGGAAATGTGATTAAGTCCTACCCATCTACAGCGACTGGAGAAGGCTCGCCGGCGACCACCCCCCCTCACATGAAATGGAAAGCTACAATGACTTACACTTTGCGAACTTGTCAATGGCGTTGACCAATTTTTAAATCGCATTTATATCCTAGCCAAAGCCATATCTATTTGGTTTGGAGTATTCGAGTGGAACGGATGAAGTCACAATTAACAAGTATTTAAGCTGTAAGTTCGGCCGGGTTGATCTTTGAATACCCTCCATCATTTCGAACGGTTTCGGCAATTTTCAAAAAAATAAAATCCGTTAAAAATTTTGTTAAAATGTTTAAAATACCGAATGTAGCCGTTATATTAGGGTCTTTACGACGATGTGGACCTGCATTGGCAACTTTTGTCAAACACCATTACAATATTCAAATGCGAAACTTGAATAAAAAATTTGGTGAATAATGTAGCTAAAATCATTAAAATTATGAATATCGGGAGGTACCGTTATATAAGGGGATATACGAAGACGTGGACCTGCACAGACAATTTTTTTGTCTTAGGCTGTAGTATTCACTACGAACTTCAAATACCAAATTTGAAACAATTTCGGTGAATAATATCGCTAAAATCATCAAAATACCGAATATCGGGAGGTACAGTTATATGGGGGCTATACCAAAACGTGGAACTACACGACCCATTTTCAATACCAAAAGTTCTGCAGACATTATATATATTTGAGTAAAATTTTATCAATCTATTTCATTTCGTTCGGAAGCTAGAGTGATTTCCGGATAGACGGACGGACATAGCTAAATCGACATAGAATTTTATGCTGATCAAGAATATTTATACTTTGTGGGGTCTAAAATGTTTATTTTCGACAACATTTTGTAAGAAATATGACAATTCATAATAACACATATTTTGAATAATATTTCATATAAAATATCCATAATATATTACAAACCAGTAAAGAAAGTCTTAAAGTCGGGCGGGGCCGACTTTATGATACCCTACACCACTTTGCCAATTTAATACAGCTCCACATAACAATTAAAAGTTTTTATGGGAGAATTCAATCATACACGCTATGATTATAATTTTAATTTCAAGTCCAAATTATTAAATATGCCGAAGCATTTGTATCTTTTAAATTCGGACTTGTATTGCCCATTTGGTGCACAATTAATTTGAAATCAGATAAAGGTATATATGGGAGCTATATCCAAATCTGAACCGATCTCGATAAAAATTGGCAAAGATATTTCTGAGCTGCATTTGATATATTTCTCTGAATATCGTTGTTACGGAGTGCATATTACGGTTGTGGGTAACAAATATAACAAATCGGATGAATAATATATATGGAAGCTATTGCTATATCTGAACCGATCTTCACCAAATTTGACACACTAGCTTCTAGACTCAATTCGGTCGCAAGTGCCAAATTCCATCCCATTTGGACAAATATTAGACGTTTGGTGCACAATAAAAGGTAAATCGGACGAAGTTATATATGGGAGCTATATCCAAATCTGAGCCGATCTCGATAAAATTTAGCAAATGTATTTCTGAGCTGCATTTGACATATTTCCCCAAATATTGTTGTTGCAGAGTGCATATTACGGCGGCGGTGGACAAAATTAACAAATCGGATGAACAATATATATGGGTGCTATAGCTATATCTGAACCGATTTCGATCAAATTTAGCATACATATTTTCAGGCCTAATTTGGGTGTATATGCAAAATTCCATACAATTCGGGCTGATATTACATGTTTGGTGCACAATAAAAGGCAAATCGGACGAAGATATATATGGGAGCTATATCTAAATTTTGACCGATTATCTCCAATTTCAATAGGGTTCGTCCTTGGGCCAAACAAATGATCTGTGCAAAATTTCATCTGGATCGGGCAATAAATGCGACCTGTACTTTGTTTACAAAAATACATGGACAGACGGACAGACGGACGGACGGACGGACAGACGGACGGACGGACAGACGGACGGACGGACATGCATAAATCGACTCAGAATGTGATTCTATGCAGATCATCAAAAGGAACTATGGGTCTATCTCGTTTCCTTCTGCCTGTTACAAACAAATGCACAAAGACATAATACCCTGACCACCTTGTGGTGTAGGGTATAAACATCAAATAAATATTTTATAAATTAATAAACAATAATATATTATTAAAAAAATCAGCATTTTTCATTTTTCTAATAAAATTTAAAAAATGAAAGTGGCATGTCGTTTTTTCATCTGGCCCGAGACTTTTCAGTCTTGCCTTGCTCATTTGAATCATGCGTTTCAATAGATGGCGTTATAATCATGCCATTGCCAGTGTAGTCATTTTATTCAATAAATTCATGTTGCTGTAAATTTTCAAAATTTGAAGCATGCTTCGTGGCGCAAACGAATTAATGACTTATTTTTGTCTTCAACGTTGAAATGTGCGGTTAGTTTATTTGCGCCTCAAAGCATGCTTCAATATTTGAAAGTGTGCAGCAATGAGAGATTATTGAATAAATTGACAACACTGGCAAATACATGATTATAACGCCATCTATTGAAACGCATGATTCAAATGAGCAAGCCAAGACTGAAAAGTCGCGGGCCTAGTGAAAAAACGACATCCCACTTTGTTTTTTAATTATTTTTACGAAAGTTAAGAAAACACATAAAATATGAATTAAAACGCAAGAGAAAACATAAAAAAGAAGAGGAATCTGTAATAGAATGCAGGATTGTATCCCCGATAGTACGCGAAAAAAATCTTTAAATAATCCAAACTTATGTTTCATACATTTTAACTTATGTTTATGAAACAAATCAGAAAAACCCCTTTAATGGAAAAAAAATAAAAATAATCAAAAATCCACGTCCAAGGATCTTAATCCTTAAAAATAGACCTATAATTAACGATTTTAGTCTTTGCACAAAAAAAAAACTGAAAAAAAAAAACAACCCGATTCCATTAAAAAAAGAAAAACCTGAGGATCATAGTCCTTGAAAAAAATTGCGCTTAAAGATTTAAAAAAAAATACCCCACTGCTGAAGATCCTAATTTTTTATAAAAATCTACGCCAAAGGATCTTAGTCTAATAACGAAATTCATTGAAACAAGGAAAATAGTATCAGTCGGTTTTGCCGACCCCCAGCCTTGAGTTTTGACTATTCAAACTTTTAACCTTCCGAAGCAGTTTGCCAATATTCACCAATTCGTATCTGATCTGACTGATAAAAATATTATAACGTGCCAGATTTTGAATATATCGAGATTTTGTACCCCATTGGAAATCGAACATTTGTATTCAATTTTATGTGAAATCATAAATTTCGATAAATTCCATATTTATCTCAGGTTTCAGGTTGAGAGTAATATTTAGATATAGCAAATTGTAAAGAATCGGCGACTTGTCTCGCAAGTTATGACAGATAAAAGTATTCGAAATTGTGACCCTTTGTGGGTGAGGTAACAGAAAAGGTTGGCAGATATATATAATTTTCACAACAGAGTTTGCGTTAGAAAAAATGTTCGGATGTGTGAAATTTGAAGAGAGTGAGATGCTTATTTCGCTTTCTCTGAGCGTTTTTTTTTTTTTTTCAAAATCTTGAACCCTGGGGAAGGTGCCAGAAGAAATGTTACCATGTTTATAAAAGATCTTGTGTTAATGGAAATATAGAGATGTACCAAGTCTGAATGGAATCGAATGTTAATCTTGCTTTCTATGAGCTTCATGAGCATTCATAATGTTGACCCTTTGTAGGGAAGGTACCAGAAGGTGTGGACCGATATGTTCCATCTTCACAGCAGATCTTGATCAAATAAAAATGTTATGATGTGTGTAATTTGAAGAGAACCGGATGCTTATTTCGGATTTTATGATCATTTTGGTTATTCAAAATGTTAACCCTTTGTGGGGGAGGTACCAGAAGGAATGATTCGATCTCTACCATCTTTATAACAGATCTTGTGTTGATAGAAATATTGAGATGTGGCAAGTCTGGATGGAATCCGATGTTAATTTTGCGTTTTATGAGCTTCACGGATATTCACAATTTTGACCCTTTGTGGGTGAAGTATCAAAAGGAGTGGACCGACATATTCACACCGGATATGGGGTTAATGAAAATATTGTGATGTGTGAAATTTGAAGACAATCGGATTCTTATATAAAATTTAGTAAGAGTCATAATTATTTAAAATTGTGACCCTTTGTGAGGGAGGTACTTGATGGTACACTTTGAAAATTTTGACCTTTTGTGGGACCGATATTACCCATCTCCGAACTCAATCTAAGTTT